CTCACGTCAGCTCAACATTGATCCTCCGCGCCGGCGAGACGCCGTCGTCAAACTCGGAGTGGTGCATCTTGGCCAGGCACGTCTTGATGGCGCTGTAGTTGTCGAACTCGACAAAGGCGATGCCGCGCGACCTTGCCGGGTCGTCGCGCTGCGTCAGCAGCCGCACCGACGACGGCCGCAGCGTCGCAAAGTGCGCCCGCACCGCCTCGGCCGTCGCCGTGAAGGGGAGGTTGCCGACGAAGACGATGAAGCGCACCTTCTTGCCCGCCGCCGCTCCGGCTTCGTCGCCCTCGCCGCCATCTGCCTCGGCTTCTGCGGCGGCGGCGGCGGCCTTCTTGGCCTTCTTGCGCTCCTTCTTCGAGGTCGGGGCGGAGGCGCCGTTGGCGGCGGCGGCGGTCTCGGTTGCGCCCTCGTCGTCCTCGGCCTCCTCCCCTTGCTGCTGCTGCTCCTCCTTCTTCTGCTTCTTCTTCTTCTTGTCCTTCTTCGCCTTCTTGTCCGCCGCCTCGCCGGCAGCCTCCTTGACCTCCTCATCCTCCTGAGCCTCCTTGCTCTTCTTTTTCTTCTTTTTCTTCTCCTCCTTGCCGGCGGCAGGGGCCTCCCCGTTTATAGCCTCGGCGGCGGCGGCAGCATCATCCTCCTTGGCCCGGATGGGTATGTCCTTCTTTTTCCTCTTCTTGGCCGGCTCCTCCTCCTCGCCTTCGGCGGCGGCGGGGACAGCAGTCTCCTCCGTCTCCTCCGTCTCGTCGGCCTGGGCGGCGCGCTTTTTGCTCTTGTCCTTCTTCTTCTTCTTTCCCTCTCCGTCGCCGTTCTGCTCGGCGGCCGTCGCCTCCTTCCCGGCCTCGGCAGCCGCGCGCTCCTGCCGCTTCTTCTCCTTCTTCGCCTTCTTCTCCAACTTCGCGTCGGCGGCGGCGGCGGCGGTCGCAGGGTCCTCGTCCTCGTCGCGCCGGCGCTTCTTGGACACGAGGTCCGCACCCTCAGACGCCTTGGGCTCTGCCTTGCGCTTCATTGTTTGGGTGGCTTTCGTTAGATGCGAGGTTCGGCGACTGCTCAGTTCGTTCCTGTCTTTTTTTTTCACTTGTCCTTTGCACTCTGCTATAGTTTCCCATTTAGGTAACCCAATTGCGCCTGGTCCCTGATTTTTTCTTGACTTCTTTTTTTTTCTGCCGGGCGGAGTCGCTCATTGATGGTGGGGTGCCCCCGCCGCCCTGATGCAGGGGCTGCGCGTTACTCCTTGCCCCGACTCCGTCATCAGGTACCTACGGTTAGTATCTATCTAGGTACTGAGGTATTGATATGAACACTCCATTGGTAACACGAGAATCTCGGGGGAAAGTGAGCTTACTACCTGGCTCCTTCATCATTCCGTACGGCAATACAAAATCACAGGCGTGGTTCGCCCCTGAATTTAAGAGCCAATATCTTATTTGTTTTGGCTACAGGACCCTGGCCCTCTTCGTTCCCCTATCTCTGTTTACAGTCAATGTGCGAAACCGACTCCCCAGCAAAAATGAAAACGAAACCTCTAGATAAGTAAACAGCCAAACCGTTAAGAGCTGCCCTAAGAGAATCTGTGAAACAAGCAACAAAAAAGAAAACTCGTTCTCCATAACAGGGAATATTCTATACCGTTGGGAGTAGTTTGAATCGTTGATAACTCCACCGTAAATCATGTCTTCACCTCTGATCTGAAGACTAACCAAGAGACACACCGCCGTCCGTCTTGCAGGGTTTCTTCCTTCAACGGCGAGGAATGGGGCCGAGTGTGTAGCAAGAGCCCTTCATGATAGACGGCCGTGAGAAGGAAGCATGTATGGGTTCCTGGGGGAAAAAAAAGAGAAGACAGTGTCGCGAGGCCCCTATGCTAGGAAATTTCTCAGTTGCGTATGGCGACTAGCGCAGCCAGTGGTGCGACCAAGGCTACCATCGGCGGGAGGTGCCTGCCTCCAGCTCCCGTGAACTGCGCCGGGATCGTTGTCGTCGGTGTTGCTGTCGCTGTCGTCGGCGTCGGTGTCAGCGCCGTCACCGTGGTTGGCATCCCGGGCGGCGTGACCGTGCTTGATACCCTCGGCGGTGTCACTGTGCTGGAAGGCCTGGGCGGCGTCACTGTCTCATTCAATGGTGGGAACATCGAAGTCAGGATCGTGGGCCTAGTTATCGTTCCCGGTGGGCTTCCAGTGCTATTCGTTAGAGTCATCGTCGAATGCGTCGTTGTCATTGGGGGTATTGTCTGGCTGAACGTGCTGTTCGACGCCGTGCTAGTGATTGTGGGAGGGCCTTGTCCCGAAGGAGGCACTGGTGGTATGGACCCGGTGAACGAGAGACTTGTCGTCATTGGTGGTGTCGTGATCGAAGCAGTAGCCCCACCCGTGATTGGTGCTTGACCGCCGCCTTCTCCTCCCGATGGGGTCGAAGAGGCCTCGGGGACACTTGGTGACACTGGGGGTGACGAATGAATGGTTGTAGCACCCGTGGCTGGGGCTTGGCCTTCGCCTTCGCCTCCAGGAGGCGATGAAGAGACGCTTGTCGGAACAGGTGGTCCCGGCAGTGACGGGGTCAGGGTGACGGCGCCCGTGGCAGGGGCTTGGCCTCCAATCTCTCCGCCTGGCGTCGTGGAAGAGCCTCTAGAACCACCAGGGACGCTTGGAGACAGAGGAGGTGATGTGGTCAAGGTGGTGGCGCCAGTGACCGGAGCTTGGCCCCCGGCCTCTCCACCAGGTGACGTAGGTGTGCTTGGGGCACTGGGAGGGACAGAAATCGATGGACTCAAGGTGGCGGTGCCGGGCACAGGAGCTTGACCTCCAGCCTCTCCGGGAGTCGTCGAAGTGGCAGGCGTGTCGGGACAGTTAGGGCCACCAGGACAGCCGGTGATGTCAGGACAACCGGGACCTCCAGGACAATCAGGGCCAGTCGGGTGTCCGGGGCCACTAGGGTTCCCGCGAGGAGGCGTCGAGGTTCTAGAAGTATCGGGACAACCAGGGCCGCCAGGACAGCCAGTGATATCAGGGCATCCTGGACCCCCGGGGCAGTCGGGGCCTGTTGGATGGCTAGGGCCACTTGGGTTTCCTCCGCCGGGCGGAGTGGTGACAGGGAGGCCGGGAGTTCCTGGACCAGATGGGATAGAGTGGCTGGTTGTCATTGCGCCGGGAACGGGTGCTTGCCCACCACCCTCTCCACCGCTGCTAGGTGCCGTGGTCCCCGGGATACCAGGCGCGCTCGGACTACTCGGGCTGAGGGGGGTACCAGGAGTGACCGGCGTGTTAGAAGTGCCAGGAGGGTTCAATGACGAAGGAGTCGAGGTAATGGCCCCAGTGACGGGAGCTTGGCCTCCAATCTCTCCACCGCCGGGTGTTGTGGCAGGCACACCGGGAGTGCTGGGACTTCCAGGAGCGCCGGGCTCACCAGGAGTATCTGGAGATGAAGGGGTTGATGTTCCGGCACCAGTGACGGGTGCTACACCTCCGGCTTCTCCACCGTTGGGCGTCGTGACGATTGGTATAGCAGGAACACCTGGGGTGCTTGGGGTGTTGGGACTACCAGGAGTATCGGGGCTACCAGGAGCGCCTGGGGACGAAGGGGTCGTTGTTCTGCCCCCGGTGATGGGCGCCACACCTCCTATCTCGCCACCGCCAGGCCCAGAGCTGGGCGTCAGTGGCGTAGTCACTCTCGTAGTTAGTGTAGTGACTGGCGGAATAGTGCTCGGGTTTCCAGGAGGACTGCCACTTGGAGGTGTGCCTTCGTGCGGTGGCTGTGGCTGGGGCGTCGTCACCGGGGCCGGCGGTGGTGTCGAATCAGAGGGCTGGTCAGGCGATGCAGGAGGGCTGCCAGGTGGCGGGCCTGCAGGCGCAACAGGTTGTCCGGGTGTGGTGCTTGACGATCGCGAGTTACCAGGCGGGATACCTCCGGGGGGACTTGCACCCGGAGGGCTGCTGACAGGCTGTGTGCTGATACTGCGAGTCAAGCTGTGAGGCCAAGGCAGCTGACCTGAGAGCGTGAGGGCCCCTCCAGGCGGTGCTGGTGGCATGCTTCCTGGTGACCCTGGGTTTGGTGGCGAAACAGTCACAGGGGGAGGCGGCGTTCCCTGGGAGCTGGCTGGGACTGGCCCGACAGGCGGCGATGAACCACCATCATTGGGCGGGGGCCAGGTGCTACGGGAGCTCACAGACCCTGGGGGCCTACTCCCAATGCTGGGGAATCCGGGAGGCGGCAGTGTGGGTGGGACTGAGCTGATGATGCCGCTGACAGGGGAGGCGTTGGGGCTGCTCCCATCACCAATTGGCGGAGTTCCGTGAGTAACCGGCGTTGGTGGTATCGAGTTGATTATCGACGTGACCGTTGGAGCCAGCGGGTTGGCAGGAGGTGAGCCACCTACGTTCGGCAGACCAGGAGTGCCCGGTGCATTTGGTGTCACAGGAGGAACTGGCACGGAGGGTGACCCAGGCGTTCCTGGTAGGTTTGGCACACCAGGGCTGACGGGTATATTCGGAGCCCCAGGAGTGGATGGAACAGCCGGCCAACCTGGAGTGACTGGAAGACTTGGCACCACAGGACTGAAAGGGACATCTGGCGTCCCAGGACTGATTGGGATGGTGGGCCAGCCTGGAGTCCCTGGCAGATTTGGTGTCCCAGGATTGAGCGGAGTGCTTGGGAAACCAGGTGGCCTGGGGACAATAACTGAGGGTGAGGTCACAACAACCGTCGTGGTGGGCCTTGGCGGGCTGAGAATACTGTTGAGGGGCGGAAAGGCCGGGATTGTGACCGTAGAGACCGACGTCGTTGTCACAAAGACGGTGGAACCTGTGGGCTGAAAAGGGCCCCATGGGGTACCAGGGGGACCGTTGGGGCCTGGAGGCATACCAATCGAAGGAGACGAGTGGGGGGTATCGCCGCCATATGCACTCAGTAGACCGGGAGGGAGACTGGGCCCATTTCCGAAATCATAGCCTTTCGAAGTTCGCCCCGTGAGCGGCTGACCCGACTTGCTTCGGTGAACATCTCTGGAGTATGAGCCTTGAGGGTTTGGTGCTCCCCCGGTGACTGGCGAGACAGGATTGCCCACTCCGGGGTTGTTGCTTGGAATTCCGTTTGGCCTGGAGCCGTCGAAGCCGCTATATGAAGACGAAGGAATTGTGGCTCCCGAGAGACCATCACCGTACGGGGATGGAAACTCGGGTCCTGGGCCCTGAGCAGGGGAATTCACAGGAGTGGTCGGAAAGGAGCCCATCACCGTGACCGTGGAGGTCCTAGCGGCGGCAGGTCTCGGGTTAGCGAGGACAGTGACAGTTGATGCCGAACGACCGCCACCAGAACCACCAGGACTTGCATTCCCACTACCGGAGCCATCGCCGCTAGAGCAGCCCCGACCCCCAGAGGAGGGGTTACTGCAGTCATCTCCGTTGCTGGGGCCGTTGGGAACGATGGGGGGAAAGGAGGCAATCTGCGGAGGAGACGCAACGACCGGGGGAGGAGCGTTGGGCCGAGCAGATACGCCCGTTGGGGGAGCTGCCAAGACAGTGACTGTTGACATCGACCGCGCTCCCTCGTCACAATCTTCGCCATTTGCTGCGCCTGGTCCAAAACCAGAGCCCGGGGCTGCTAGCACGGTGACGGTAGAAGCTGGTGCAGCCTGGACAGGAGCCGCAGGCCGGCCGCCACCACTTCCGAGACCGTTTCCTGGAGATGTGGGAGCTGCGATTACGGTGACCGTAGAGACAGAGAAGGCCGGGCGTCCACCGGCACGAGGGTCTTGAGGAGCAGCTCCAGAACCGCCATTGCCACTGCCACTGTCTGGGAGACTGGGCGACGGCCTCGGTGGAGCCGCAAATACGGTGACTGTAGACACCGGTGCAGCTGGGCGACCACCGCCGGGGGGTCCAAGAGGGTTGGGTCCAAGGCCGTTGCTACCGCTTCCTGGAAAGCCTGGCTGAGCACCTGGGGGAGCCGCTAGGACTGTGACTGTAGAGACAGGCGGAGCTTGGCCGCCAAAGGCAGGGCCTTGTGGACGACCACCGAAGCCGCCGCCAGCCGGGAAGCTTGGCATCTTGCTTGGGGATGCTGCAACGACGGTGACAGTCGATGTGACAGGAGCTGAGCCACCAAAGCCAGGCCCCGGGATGAGTGGCCCAAGGCCGTCACCAGACCCGGGCCAGCCATTACCCGGAAGGCCAGGTGGGAGACGAGGCGGAGAGGCGAGGACTGTAACTGTAGAGACTGGTACAGCGGGCCGCGGCGCCTGCGGTGCCCCTCCGTTCCGCCCCTGACCGTTTGTAGCTGAATCATCATCACAGTCGTCTGGGTTGAGTGCCGCCGGCGCGGGAGAGGGGGCTGCAAGGATGGTGACTGTTTGAATAAATGGTGATACTCCTTGACCATTAGCATTACCGATGCCGTTGCCGTTGCCATTGCCATTGCCGTTGTTGTTGCCGTTGCCGTTGGTGTTGCCGTTGGTGTTGCCGTTGGTGTTGCCGGAAAGTTCATCGTCACAGTCGTCTGGATTCGACACAGGCACCGCCGGCGCTAGAGAAGGAGCTGCAAGAACTGTAACTGTTTGGACAGACGGCGATCTCCCCTGGCCGCTACCGATGCCGTTGCTATTGCCATTGCCGTTGTTGTTGCCGTTACCATTGCTGCTGCCAGAAGTGCCATCATCACAGTCCTCTGCTCCAGAAGCAGCCCCTCCATTGGACCCTGTGGCCCAAGATGGTGCTGATGGCGCTGATGGCGCTGCAAAGACTGTGACGGTCTGGACCAGAGGGGCCAGCGGCATACCATTTCCGTTGTTGTTTCCGTTCCCGCTGCCCGAAAGATCATCACAATCATCTGCTCCTGGCGTGAGTCCTGGTAGATTGGGTCCCGTGGCAACAGCAGGCTGTGTTGAGGTTGATGGAACCGCAAAGACAGTGACAGTCTGGGCAGGGAGATTCTGCCCTTGGCCGTTTCCAATGTCATCATCGCAATCTTCGCCATTGGGGCTGGAAGCAGAGCCAGGTGAGACTCCAGGCGCCCAGGGTCCAGGAACCCAGGGCCCCGCGACAGCAGGCGTAGGGGCAGCCAGTAGCGTGACGGTCTTGACAGAAGCTCCCAAGCCAGCACCGTTGGAGCCGTAGCGTTGAGCGTGATTTCCTGGCCAGAAGCGGGATCCACTGAACCTGGAGGGTGTATCTGGGAAGACGCCTTTGCCAAGTGCGTGGGGGCTCTCGGTGACGTGATCCTGCTGGGAAGACGACGTGGGATGCATGAGGTCGTGGCATTCAAGGTACGCTTGCTGGGCAGCAGCAGTGTACTGGTCGGATGGACAGTTGTCGAACAGGCAGTCGAATAGTTTCTAGAAAAATCAAAAGAAGTCAGTGGCATGCTGGAGAGGGGACGCCCTAGGGTAACTGAGAGCATGGACCGACCTCGTTGTAGTGTGGGTTGCTGCAGAGGCAGGAAAGGTCTGGGCAGCCGGTCTCGGCCACGCTCCGCTCCAAGCAATCCGAAGCGCAGTCTAGGAGAATATCTGTCAGTCTGGTATGCCAGTGAAGCTAGGGGACAGCAGAAGAAGACGGATTAGAACACTTGCCTTGGGCAGAAGACATGGACGAGCCGAGGGCGTGGACCCGGAGGGGGGAGCAGAGCAGAGCTAAGCTCCAAAACATGGTGGAATTCATCATGGCGATCAAGCTGGCGCCCTGCTGGAAGGGGCGGGACCCGAGTGCCTTGGAATGAAGTCGATGGAGATGAATGGCAGCGACAAGGAGCGAGTAGAGGGTCGACTGCAAAACTGCTGCAGGCAAAGGATGATCTCCTAAATAGGGGCCAAACGAATGTCACTAGCAAGAAACTTGGCAAAGATCCAAAAATGACCAGAGCGTCCAAAAAGAGCGTCTGTCCTTCGATGATGCTGTTGTTTACTAGAGGTTGGAGGACGGTTGTTGGAGGGAGAGAAGATGGGAGAGGATCCAGAAGAGCTGGCGGAGCTTTTTGATCCAGAGAGAACACGCCTGAGCCATCCTGCCGTGCTGTCCTTTGGCAAGAGCATGTCTGGAGGAAGGAGCTGCTCATCCCCGCCGTTGTGCAGAAAAGCGGCTGTCCAAGGAAGCCATGACTGTCGACGAGATTTCGGGAAGTCGCATCCACTCGAATCTCGTGTTCCATGACGCTCAGCCAAATGGCGGCCACGCGCTGCGAGAAGCTACGATGGCCGGAGCAAATGAATGAGGACGAGCACCTAGGCTTTTATCATTCTCTCAATGAAAGGAGAGGCTCGAAAGCCGTGGACAGAAATCAGACACCTAAATTGTCCCTTCCTGTCCCAGGAGCTTCCAAGCATCAGGGTATCATTCTTGTAGAGAAAATCGTGGCCAGTTTCTTATTTGCCTTCTTCTTCCTTCTTTCGCTTCTCCCCCCTTCCCGATGCGGATGACGTGTGCAGTCTCGCTGCTTGGCAGAACCGAGTATGCGCGCAGGTGGTTCTTGCCCTTACCTAGTAAAAGAGCAGATGCAGGGGGTTTACGTCATCCACGTACCGCTCCTTGAACTCGGGCCTGGCGAGCCAACGGGCAAGAGGCAAGGCCGTTTCTCGCATGTCCATGACGCCTCGCTTTTTCTGGTCGATGTGGGACGCATCAACCACGATCCGCTTGAGGTTTTTGACAGAAAGCGCACCTGCGTGTAGATAGGTTGGCCCGGTCAGCGGTGGAGGGATATGCGGAGGAAAGCTTGCGGGCCGCCGCCGGCCAAGCATGGGCAAGAGGCATCCTACCGTTATCAAGCAGGTCCATGAGTCGAACGGGGGTTCCGACCGCAACTCCTGTGTGATTCTTTTGCAGGAAGGAGACAGCCTCCTCCATCTTGATGTGTTTTGCAAACTAACGGCGGGCCCCCGAGTCAGTGGAATCTCGAGATGCGGAGGCAAGGTCTCCGGCAGAAGGAGGATTGGTAACTCACAAGCTTGGCAACCGTGTTACCCTTCTTCTGGTACTTTCTCAAGGCTCTGCGGCGGCGTGTCAGCGAACAGATCCATCACCAGGATGGAGTGGGCAGTCGTGGGATCCAAATCTCCAACGAGGCCACATACCTTGTCAAGTCGGCCGCCCTGAGCCCGGCGCCGGCGACGACGATGGTGTGCGGCGCGCCCTTGTCCTTTGGGGCAGCACCCAGCTCGGCGACGCCCCCGGAGGCGAACGCCTCGAGGAAGGCGGGCAGGTTCTCCAGGGACCGGGGACCTTTGTCGAAGGACGACGAGTCCCGGATGGCGCCGGCGGGCACGTGCAGGTCGGCCAGCTCGACGGAACTGAGGTCGGCGCCGAAGCGGCTTACCTGCTGGGCCAGGTGGTCCGAGAGCAGCTGGCCGTCCATGCTGGCCAGGGCCAGGTTCAGCCCAGCGTCCAGGTCCAGGCTGTCCTCGTCCTCACCCGTCCGCCGGGTCTTCTTGCGCCTCTTTTTCTTGTCTCTGCCCAGGGGGGCGGTCCGCGGAGCGCCTGCGTCGCCGTCGTCGGCGATTGCGTCGGCCTTGCGCTTTTTGGGCTTGGCTATTGAGCTTTTCACGGCTGCAGACATGGTGGCACGCGGGCAGCTGGGACGTGTTGATGGGCGCAGCCAAACAGTTTGTCTGATGAGCTTTCTCTTGGTACTCAATATTCCCCCTGATCTACTGGGAAGTTGGGGACTGAATTATACTTCTCATTCACACACGTGTTTGTCATGTAGGAGACGTGATTTTTTTTTCTTTTTCATTTGGGCGTCTGATTGCCCCATTGTAATTGGTCAAACTTGGGCGGGGGCGCCCAGAATGAGGCACTGTGCGACTCGCACTCGCCATACCAGGGGCCTGATGGGCGAAACCGACTGCCTACCACCTACGCCCTACAAAAAAGATGGCAGTCTTACAAGTCCCAGAGACTAGCTTTCCTCTTCTTATTTTTCTCCCCTTTATTATTCATATTTTGTTCTTGTTTTTGTTCCTGTTTTTGTACGTATTCCTCTTCGTATTTTTAAAAGGAATGGCCGTCTACTCATCGTGGAGGATAATTTCTTCTTTTCTTCCCTTTCTTTCTACTCTTTTTTTTATCCTTTTTATATCACCTTCACTACTCTGGAGCCACTCTGTCAACGCTGACAATCTCAGCTGTAACGTGGTGGGCATGGCAGACTAAAACTTGAGAAGAAGAGCAGTATGCGAATGAGATACCAGCTGCCGTTTTCGCTTTTGTAAGCGAGCTTTTTATTGCGTGCCAGTAAACACCAACCTGAGCAGCGGCGGGAGTCCATATGAGATGCATCTCGGCCACACTGCAAATAATCGCCAGCCTTGCCAAACGCCAAAAGAGCTCGCCTGGAACATAAAAAAAAATAGGGCTAAAGCCCATCCTCCAAGCAGCATTCCTGCTTCAAGAACAGGAAACCGGAAGCTAGATGGCGAAACAGGATCAGGATGAGCCTGTCTTTTGGGGCCGGCTTCCCGGCTTCTTTGTTTTCCCTCCCGGCCCATCAAGCTGAGGATAGGACGCAAAAAGCCAGTGCTGAGAGTTCTCCAATGGATATAAAACATACTTGGAAAGAGATGAAAGGAGGCAAAGGAGCAAAAGCAGGCAGTCTATATGCTCGCGCCACATGGGGCATTCCAAGCCCATGTTTCTTCTTCTTTTTGCGTGTTTTTTTTTTTTGCTGCTAAACCGAGAGGCAAATGGGACCAGAAAGGAGACCGCGTAAAACAAAATAGCAAAACACCAAAAAAAAAAAAAAAAAAAATTGCACGTGCTGGGTATGCCGCCATATGGAAATGAACAGTTCCCCTTGTGGGTGACTCGGGAAGTTGGCGCGGACGAGAGAGACGCCGGGGGTATCGAGCTGTCGTCATTGATCATAATATAGTGCACTTGTTGTGCTTTTTGCTCCTGCTCTTCTTTTGAGGCTTGGTCGAGAGGGCACCGCCGTCGTTTCTATACTCGTCGTCGCCGTAATAGGGACTGCTCTGCGTGCTGTCTCGACGTAGCATCTGGCGGCAGAGGTCGATAAACACCTCGTCGACGTTTGCTATCGAGGAAGGCCTGGGTGAGCAAGTGTTCTCTGCGTGGACCAGGGCACATGGTTTCCTTACTCCTTGTCCTTGCACTAGCCTCATAGTATGGAGCATGCCAGCGCTGTGAGATCGAAAAGGCTTTGGTGCGGGCCACAGTCCGCTGGTCCTCGAGGTCAGCCTTGTTGCCGCAGATGACTATTGGTGCGTTGTCGTCCTCTTTGATCCTAATGATCTCCTCTCGCAGCTGCGCTAGTTCGGATAGCGATGACATTGACGTGATGCTGAAGACGAGTAGGAATCCTTGGCCCGTCTTCATGTAGAGATCACGCATGGCAACTACGTGGTCGGTCAGCGGAATGTTCTGGCTGTTGTAACGGGTCAACGTCGTGCACACGTACCAAACTGTTCTGTTCCTGCAGTGTCGAGTCTGCGTTGAGAGGGTTAGTAAAAACAGACGGAATTTGCGGCACGGCCCGTGCAAGGTGCATGGCCTGTGTGATCATGCTGCGGCTTACATCTCCAACACCACTTGCCGTCCCTACAAGCATATAGTTGTATGTTAGCTTATGTAATCAGGCAGTCAACTAAGCCTGCATCTTAGGAGGCAGGCAGCAGGACGGCGGGACAGGGGAAGGCCTGGACTGGAGGCAGCTTACATCGACAGAGACTTGTGTCCTGTATGAGTCCTCTATGGTGGGATCATAGCTTTCGATCCATTCATTGTGGACGAATTGTGCTGGCGAGGGCAAAGACACATTAGCTCCGGTGCATCAGGGGATCAAGGGTTGGTCGACGACGCGCAGGCAGGAGAGGGCACGTGACGCAGCATGTTTGGTTTCCCGACATGGATCACAACAGGCAGAGGCATAAGACGGGCGAGATAATGCAGCGGAATGGGCGGCATACCAGTCAAACAGCTTTTCCCCACACCACCTAGAGCAGCGGAGAACGGCGAATGGGTCAGCATGATGCGATGCGAGTCGTGCCGCTTCAAACAGATTTGTTTCAGCGAGAGTGGAAGGCGTGGAAGCGAACCCACCGGCGCCCAGGACGACTATGTGAAACTCGCGCCTATTTTCAAAACACGGTTAGCAGACAAGATAGACAACAAACAAGATGGAGGTTGGTTGGCGGGGCGAGGGGAGGGAGGAACAGAGTGTGACGATGGTAGCAGCAGTGGTGCTGGTGTTGTGATGGTGACGGCGGTGATGGGCCAGGAGGCCGACGAGATGCCGGCTGGGCTGCGGTGGGAGGGTGGACGGGATAGGTGGGACAGATGGGAAGGGCCGGCACGGTGGCGACGGCAATCAAGATGGGGTGCATCGGGGATTGGTGACGGGCATGGGAAACGGGCAGGAAAGAATGGGCAAAAGCTTACGCAGGCATGTATCGTGAAGGCATGGCGCTTGGCTGGCGAAGCGCGCATGCATGCCCGCCCGGGAAGACGGACGGGAGCACAAGGCGTTTAATTAAGTTAAAATAATAATAATAATAATAACAATAATAATAGTAATAATAGAAAAAAAGTCACAACGTCCTCGCTGGCAGCAGGAAAGAGAGATAAATATAAAAAAAAAAAAAACGGCCGCGCTTCGGAGGGTTCGGCTGAGGAGTTTCGGTTCGCGTGCGTGACAGAAACCCAAAAAAGAAGGTTTGTAGGTCTACGTCTGCGAGGGAGATTCGAAGGACGGGTGTTGCCCAACAGTGGAAAGTCCCAGACGGGCAGGACAAGAGTGGCGACCCGACACGGCAGCGCTGATTTGCACAGGGTTCTCGTTTGTACGAGCAGGGAGATCAGGATCTCGTCTGGGTTGTCCCGTTCCAGCAATGGTGGAGGACGAGGTGGTGGTGGATCGTTGATGCGCCAGGCGGGAAGACCGATCCGGACCTTGTCGCGACGTCGGGCATGCAGCAGGCGGAGCGCAGGGGAATGCTGTGTACCGGGCAGGGACAACAGAAGACGTGGCGAGGCAACCAAAATAGAACGAAAACGGCTGAAATATAAAATGTGAGAGCTCGTTGGTGAGTGGTGGTTGCAGGAGCTGGGGGTGTTTTTTTTTTTTTGAATAAGAAAATAGCAACCACTCGTTTAGCGATGTCCAGGCACCAATTGCAATGCGGAGCCTCGGGGAACAGAAAAAGAGGGACTAACAAGGAGTGAGATGGTACAAGGGGCAGAGAAAAAGAAGAAACAAAAAAAAAGAACACACACGAGTAACAACAAGGGAGTGTATTCCCACTCGACTTTGGGAGTGAATGGCTTTAGCTTGGTGGAAGTGGATGACGGTGTTTATTTGAATCACCACCAACCAGACAGGGCAAGCAGCCCAAAAAAAGACGTTGGTCGGAACCAAGGGCGTTTTTCTCTCTCCCGTCATTTTTCTTTGCCTGGCCTGCTGGCCCGCCTGCGTCCGCTTCTTGGGCCCCTCTAGCTTGGGCCGCGCTGCTGGCAGGGGCAGGGGTGGCCCGCCCATCCTCTTTCCGTTCTAGGGCGAAGGAAGAAAAAAAAAAAAAAAAAAGCGGCACCCCCCCGTTATTGTCACCCCTGTTGAAGAAGGCGGCGGTTCCCCTTGGGAGGCGGGGTGGCTGAAAGGCGGGGGTTACAGGCAAAATTGGCTCGAGCCAGTGAGGAGGATGGTGCACACGACGGTGGGTTTTGTGTTGGTTGTGTTTGGTACTGTGTGCTGTGACAGGGGGTGGTCGGAATGAATGGCACTTGCACAAAAAAAAAAACAAGGCTCTGGCCGCCGGCAACGAGAAGCCGACGACGCAGTAAGACGGACAAGCAAAGTAAGCACCGCTCGCTACTGCAACTACCACCACCATCACCACCACCGCCGCCGCAATGGCACGATGGGGATAATATGACGGAAACGAAATAAACTTGACAAAAAAGGAGAGTGGTGTTGAGTCGAGACCGAGATAAGGACGAATGGGGGTGGGCCCCTGTACAGTGTGGGATGGGTGGCTCAGATTGAGGCGCGCAAGGCAAGAGCAGAGCCCGAGAGCCTGGAACCCGAACACACAAAAAACGAACAAGGTCGAAACGAGATGGCCCAAAATGGCAATAGCGCTGGAGATCTTGTAGCAAGGGCCGGGAAGTGAGGCGGGCTAGCCCAGGCGGTGCACGCCCTCTCCGGCCCAAGTTTGGGGGACAAGAATGAGCGAGTGCTTGTCCCGATGGAGGTCGATGGAGGTCCGGTCGCCCTCCTTGTTCCTTGTCGCTGCCGGGTCTCTTGTGGTGGGTTTGGCCGAGATCGAAATCGCTAAAAGTGGGCGATGAGGACCAATACAGCTTCCCCGACAAAACAACCCTCCCCTGGGCACCATCGACGACAGGACCATGGTTTTTATATCCTCTGCTTCCCAGTAGGTACGCGGCGAGCAAATCGCTTCCATCCTTTTTTTTTTTTGTCATATTCCTTCCCCTTCGGTTCGCTTCGCTTTAGCATGGCCGTTCGTTCGCCCATCGTGTCCTCTTTCTTTGCTTGTTTGTTATCCCTCTTGCCTCCCACGCACATCTTGCTTCTTTTTTTTTTTTTTTGCTGCGTGGGCTGTCGGGTATCTTTGCTTTTTCGACCGGCAAAGCAAGCGACCAAGGTTTTTTGCTTGGGTGGGTGGCCACCCCTGCTGCTTGCTGCGCGTGGTGGACAGAAGTCAGAGGAAGCCAGGCACGCCCGGATCAAAAAAAACGGGACACTTTTCAATTGGTGGTGGTGGGTATGCACTGGGGCAAAAATTGAAAAGTGTTCTCGTTTTTTTTTATCCGGGCGTGCCAGGCAAAAAGGCCAGACAGAGCAAGGCAAGGCAGCCATGTATGTCAACCCCCCTGTGAGCTCTGTGGCGACGGCGGCGGCAGCTGGCCAAACAGGCCAAGCCAGCCAGCCACTACACCTGCCAGCCAAGGGCAGCACACCAAAAACGCGGAGCACGGTGAACATGTCGGTCGATGATGTGTTTGTGCCCCCCCCTGCCCAGCAGGTGCCTAGCACCTAGGTGGGTCCTACCTGCTCACTACGGCGTCGCGAGGCTTTTCGAGTCCCGAACGGCCGACGAAGGTCAAGCGCGCTCCTCCCTCTCCTCCACTCCACCCCGGTTGTCCACGCGGTATCCACACCGACAGACAAGCAGGGCTCGCCGCTAACCGACCCTTGGAGCGGCCGTTCCTGGGAGAATGGCACTTTTACTTTTGGGGCTAGGCCACTGATGGCAACACTTACTTGACGGAGATAAATTAGCATGTCCGGATTTGCTTTACTAAACGTGCGTTGTGCTGCAGAAGCTGACCGCCGCGACGGTGGGTCTGGGCTTTTTGTTTGCGCTCTGATCGTCATGAGAAACGAAGGAAGAAAAAAAAGAAAAAAAGGTCGCACAGGAAAGAACCAACGAGGCGCGCTAGCCGAGCAGATGGCGGACCCGGCTGCACATTTTTGTTTCTGTGCATCAAGCTCTCCCCGGCCGGCGAACCCTTCTTGGGCATCACCGGCGACACAATGTTCGCAAGCAGACACCGCTTTTGTCCGAGGACCGTCTCCGCAAATTGCCATCATCACGGGTACCACGTCGAAGCAGCGGGCTGCCATTATTGGAGGTCCCACGGTTCGTATCCAAGCATGTTTTTTTTTTGGAGGGTGGGTCGGGTCCAGCAGGCTGCGCGCCAGAGAGGACTAAAGCGATGCAGTTGGGAGCAAGACATTTTTCTTGTATCTTTTTTTTTTCGTGCCACCCTGCTTCTTTCTGTTCGCCCGGTGCCGCTTCCGGTCCGGAAGTCTACTCTCCAGAACCTCGGTCTCGGCTTGTGCGAAGGGGGATGCAGAAAATTTGATATGTGATGACGCTTGCTGCTGCGTCTTTGCCGCATGCCGCGGAGGCCAGACAGAGCACGGGCAGGAGAAGAAAAGAGAGAGCACAGGGCACATCCGATAGCGCCAACCAGGAGCCGTTAAATTGCATACCCGGCCCAGCACGGCGCCTCGCGGTCAACCAAACGGGTGAGGAGCCAGCGCTGGGTTTCGGAACGAGGAAAAAAGCCCACTCGCTCGCCGTGCAGCTGTCACACTTGGAGGGTGGTAATGCAGTGTGTTTGTATGATGTATGTCTTTCCGTACTTGGGCAAGGACAAGGAAATGGGGCCTATATGCACGTTCTACAAGAGCCCGTAGCCAAACGGCTGTCTCCATTCAAGCACCTTCGCATGCGGGGGGGATGGGATGGGGGGTGCGGGCGCGGTTGAGGCGCGAAGGGCGGCCAATGGGGAGTCGGTGGTTTGTGCTGGCATGCGCAGGTCGTGATCGTCACATATCGCCTTTGTCTCTGGGCCGGACCAGGTAGGCCATAGACGAGTATGGACTTCCCGGACATATCGCCAGCTTCCGATATCGCTCTCCGTCCCTCTCTCTCCCTCACTTTTGCTACAGTCACATTGATCCTTTTGAAGAAGGAAACATGAGAGAGTGAGAGAAGAGAGAGGGAGAAAAACCAAGCGGATCATTCAGCCCGTCATTCTTCTCTCGGCTGACTCTGTGATCTCCAGTCACCCTAACCCTTCCCTGGTGACGATCTGTGCGTTCCAATGTCACTGGTGGGAGGGGTATCCCGGCTTTTACGTATGTATGTATGTGTGTATGTATGTAACGTGCACTTGGGGCCAAGCTTCAATGCCTTGCATCTTTTCTTTTCCCGCCAATCAGTCCCTCTTTCGCTTCTCCACCCGCCTTAACATTTCAGACGAGCTGCCTCGGCCGACCCTCGGACGGATGTCAGCCCACTAACCCCGCCCGCAGCCCGAAGATAACAGTGGAAGGTCGACGAGGCCGGTGAACATGAACATGACTTTGAATGCTTCGTGTAACCATGTTCGTCCATGGGGGGGGGCTTGCCTTGGTTCCACAACAGTGTTTATTTTTTATTTTTTATGTCTTGGTCTCCAATCTATCGTCCCACTTGTTGCTGCTCGACCTGCTGCTGCATGTTTCAATCTGTCTGCGTGTCTGTCTGTCTGTCTGTCTGTCTGTCTGTCTGTATACCCGCCCGCCCGCCTCGCATTGTCTCGCCAAAGCCGGTGTGCCCAAGAGGCCCGCCTGCTCGAACCGAACTGGCATGCCGCCTTGTGGGACGGCCGTCTCTCGCGGGCCACGTGGTCTCTCGCCACCGGGGACGCAACTCTGGCCCGTTTTTTTTTTTTTTTCGCCCCCGTAACTTTGTCGCTCTTTTGTCATTTGATATGGCATCGCGGACGATTGCTGTCCATCACATGGATACCTTCTTCTTGATGGGGGGCTTTACAAACATGCTTATCTCTCTTCCTCTCACTCTATCCAACCGATACGGGGCTGGCTCAAAATCCCTCCGTCCTCCCATACCGGCGAGGATCCCCTTGCTTCGTGGGGACCAGCCGGGCGGCGCCCATTCTAGGCCCTCTTGGTACAGCTTCATGGGACTTCTCTCCGTCAGCTTTGCCCTGGGGTTGACCCCCGAGGTCGAGCCATGTCTGTCATGAGCCTGCTGACCTCGGAGCTACCCGAGAAGAGCGCCCGCCCCCGGCAAGGCCCCTCGAGGGGGCCGACGAAATAAAATGAAGTCTTCACTCGACTCGGGCAAGCCGAAACATGGACAAGAGCCGGCACGTCCCGTTTCCCAAGAACAAAGGCTGGCGCCAGAAACGAATCGACATAGGTAGGTGTTGCAGGCAGAAGGGATAGGCACGGTGTGAGGCTATTCCGGTTGATTAGCTCTAAGGAGGAAAGGATCTGAGGTGCAGGGCCCCGTAGGAGCCTTTGCCCTTTATATACACGTGACTCCCCTGTCCTCCTTGCTTACTAAGCTTCCCTCCTGGTGCCTGGAAGCGTCATAAGCTTTCAGGCAGAGGGACCGCTCTTCCAGGCATCTGCTATCTACGCCTGAGACCTCTTCTCTACAGTATACACTGTCTTCTTTGTGACAGTAGGGTATGTAGGAAGACAGGGCATTGCAGGTAGCGCTCGGGCACGTGCATGTGAGGAACTGAGATAAAGCTGTTGGAAGGGGAAAGGATTGCCGGCGGAATCTTGTTTTTTTTTTTCACGTCAAGCCGGCTTGGTGCTGGGACGCACGATGCCCAGCACAATGACTAGCACCCCAGCAAGGATGAACAGCAGCAGGGGAGCTATGCAGAAAGCCACCATGCGCAGCCGCCTCCGCCTCTTTGACTGCGCGGCCGCCACCGCCCCCAGCGGCGGGAGGGGCCGCTGCATGGGGATCCATTCAGTGCTGTTGCTATACCCGCTGCCGCCGCCACCACCCGGGCTGGCCCCGCCGCCACCGCCGTAGGGGCTCAGGTACGTCGGGCTGGCCTGCCGCGGCGAGGCTGTATCGCCGCCGCCGAGCAGCTCCTGCTTCTGGGTGGGGTCGAGGGGCGCGAACGAGGCGTGGCTGTAGGAGGGCGAGGACGGCATCGACGCCAGGTACGGCGGCGGCGGCCGATCGTCTCTGCTGAAGGCGGGCGAGAGCGGTGAAGGCAGTGGGCTATTGTTGTTGTTGTTGTTGTTGTTGTTGTTGTTGTTGTTGCCACCAGGTCCCCCAGCGTGGAGGCTCTGCAGCGACTGCTGGCGGCGGTGGCTGTGGCGCTGCTCGCGATACTCGGACTCGGCCAGCGACACGTCGAGCCGCGGCAGGCCCGCCGCCCTGCCGCCGTCCCCGGCCCGGGCCTGTGGGCCACTAGGAGGCATTCCGGGGGTCTGCGTCTGGTTCCAAGTTGTGTGTATGCTGCTTGGCAGCGGCGGTAGCGCGGCTTGGCAAGCGGACGAGGTGCTTTTGTTGTTTGAGTCGGTTGGGGGATATGAGAGACTGGCACAGAGGGAAAAGGAAGAGATTCCTGGGGCACCTGCGGGCGGTAGCTGGAAAGGTCCAGCAAGGTTCGGGGTATCAACTGGAGGGCGGATTAGGCTTGTAGGAGAATAGAATGTATGCTATTAGTCATTAAAGGAATGCGACTGGAAGAAGAGAAATTGGTGGTAAAAGGGACGGTGTGCAGTCAGTCAGTCGTCCATCAAACTTGGACTTTCGGCGCCGTGGCTTCGTCCAAGGGCACGAACGAAGTTGGGGGAATGGGCTTTCGCCCGAGAAACAAGAAATAACGGACCGAAGGCTGCTGGCCTGGCATTAAAGTCGAGAGCTGAAGGATCCTGATCCCTCAGCTGAGAGCGGCTAGGGCAGGCAGGCTACGCCCTAGAAGGATCTCATAAGCGCGCAGGCCCCCTCTTGGGTCCTTCTTTCCAATTCGATAGTCCCGGATTCCTTCCGGACCCAGATAAGGCAGGATCGCGGTCGGCCACCCACAAAGCCCGCCGGCCTGCTCGCCGAAACCCGCCGTCAGCGCCTGAGCCTTTCCCCTCCCGCCCTTTTGACGCGCCCTTCGCGTTTTTGCGCTGCGTGGCCGCCCCCCGTTGGCATGCTGGAGGCGCCTACCCAGTAGCGTGTTTGAAAGAGGGGGGAGGCGCGAAACGGGCCAACGTGGTTTGGGGGCTGCGTCCGGCGCATTTCTGTGAGCGCCGTGTCCCTCTAGCTGTCATTGCTTTTTGATTATTATTTTTACGCTACATTGCATTTGGACACCAGGGGCTTGTGGCGCACACTGCTACGCCCCAAAAAAAAGGAAATAAACAAAATGAGCGGCTAGTAAACGGGGGGCGCTAACGGACGCCACCAAGGGCATTAGAGTGAGGCTGAACCGCGTCAACGCGTGTCACTTTGCGATATCTGGGCTTGGCTTTGACATTTATCTCTTCGTCCGCTTCGCCAGCGGGCGTGCCCTCCCTCGGCACCACTACCAACTGTTTACCTATCCGTCCATCTAGTAGACGGACCCTAGGAATGGAGCCGCGAGATCGAGAGCGTGTGTGATCGGTCCTCCTAGTTCCCCTCGTAGCCGCTCGACCACCTCGACGGACACGTGGCCGCCCTCCAGCCGCACGCGGTCCGCGCGAGGACAGCGATATCCGGTTCCCTTGAAACCAATCAGGAAACTGTGTGTACAGCCGTGCCAAGTCCTTGTGTAATGTGTAACGAGTGGTCATCGGTCGATGGGCTGGGCAGGATGAAAGAGACTGCCTTGATATTGCTGGATACTGGGAGGAGGGGGTGCCCAGACCTTATAACCTGAGGCCTGCTATCGTAAAGCACGGACCTGGGGCACATCTTCGTGGTGTAGCGTGTTGGGGACCGGCCCCTGGGAGCGTCTGAGAAAATCGTTGGATGGTTTTGCTGGGGGGTTGGTAGCGGTCCACCCACCATTGAAAGAGACTGGCTGTGAGCTTTTGCCAGTTGGGCTTCCCCATTTTTTCCTGCTTCCGGTCTGGACAAGCCGGCGTGAAGTCATTGCGAGCAGCCCAAGCCAGGCGTGCAAAACGCGGACTACATATGCTGGATGGTAGCCGGAGGATCGCACGGTGGCAGGACGGGACCCGGTAGAGGCATAGTTAGGCCGTGCCGGACAGACATGGCCAGTCCGGCACGGAGTCTCGTGCGGGTGGGCCCGAGGTCCATACGGAGATCTCCGGTTACGGCTGTGCAATTCCCGGTCCTGCACCGAGGCGGTGCAAGGCTCGGGACAAGGCTGGGTCTTGATACCCCGCAGCCCGCGGCTTCCGCAAGGAGCCTATATACGGCGACCCCTCTCATGTGTTGCTACATGAGATACAGTCATTAGGATATCCAACCAGACTGCTTCTCACCCCTACGTTGATCTCGCTCGACCCGAAGGCCACGAACAACACACAATATACCATCACCGCGAAGCATAGGCCTACTCGCGCAGCCGCCAGTCCAAGCATCCGTTCTGGAAGCGCAACAACTTCCGGGAAAAGGCCAAGATGTATGGCCGAAACATGGCACGGCTGCTGTATATAATCTGCCAATGCACAGCCTGTCCCTCTATGCGCACGGGGCGGGCTTGGGAAGGTGACAAACCGGTAGGCATTCCTTTAACATGGCTACCCTCGCACCGCAGGTTAGCCCCGGGCCCGAGCTGCGTGTTTCAGCAGTCTGGTTCGGCAGACTCGACGCCAGGGAGCTGCTTTGCAGCATGCGCGCCGCATATGCCCGGGTGGCGACCGGGGGACGAACGAGAGCGCGGCCAGCTTTCGGAGCCGAGTCGGGCACACACACACACATCCCGTGCTCCGCGGGCCCGTGAGGAGGCAGCCGGCGTTGGGCGGCTACGCTGCCGCCACGCCCACACCCCTCCCGCGAAAGCCTGTCTTACTTTAACGATCGTGAAACGCCCCGGGGTCCGCGCCCGAGGTTTCATGCTGGTATCTGGAGCTGTAGATTCCTACATGCTGCTTCTGCGAGTTGTAGGCTTTGGTATTATAAGATGCATACACCGGCATGCCTCTCGGCATCGATTAGCATATTGAACGTGAGGCAACGAGTGCTGCGGGCATCAACAAACGCAAGGGAGAGTTTGAGGGTACCGTGACGTTTTTAGCTCCGCCTCGAGCTGTGCTTTGCGAGGTAGCTTGAAGGCCGGAAGGGAAGCGGGAAACGGTAAAGCTACGATCTCCCAAGGTCGGAAATGATATATAATTATGTAGGAGGTGCCATCCCTTACCGCCTTAATCCCTTACTTTTCCACACGACATGGCTGGAAGGCTTACCTCAAACGACAAGCGGGCACAATACCAACAGTCGTGGCTGCACCGTGATAAAAGAGGGGGGGGAAAGAAAAAGAATTGCACCGCTGCCGGGATTCGAACCCGGGTCTGATTCCGCCGAATTCCACACTTTAGTTATTTTAATTATACCTGGGGGACTTGTCTGGCATGGATGGGCAAGCTTACCTCCGCCTACCTCCGAAAGCATCGGAGGGCGACAAGCTAACCACTGCTATACAACGGCTGCCCTTTTCTAACCACTTGACCACTGGGGGCCAGGGCTCGGTGTTTGTTGGAGGGCTGGGCGGCAATAGCGAGTGAAAAGGGGTGTGTTTGCCATGGAATGTAGGCACATTCCAAGCTTTTCATTATTATTGCTGGAATTCCGATCGGGTTTACGGCTTGATGTCTTCCCGGGCTGGATTTTAAAAAGCATCGCACACGCGGACGAAATGAGCGCCGTATAAAGTGAAGCTTAAGCATGCACTCTTATACCCCCAGTTCCCACCGAACGTCGACACCTTATAGAACAGCAAAGCCCGAGGATTTACCCCAACGCATACGAGGTAGTCAACGGGACGCGCTTGTTCCTGTAGCTGCTGAGCGTGCAGGTTGATTGCTTAAAGGCGGGATCCCCACCACGGAGCCGGACGATACTGGCTGGCGCGGGTCCTGCCCGGCCCGTTGTGGGCATCTCGGCTCCCCGCGTGGCCACCACGGGCCCCGCCGCTCCGGACTCCGTCCGTACCTCTCCTGCCAGCCCGCACGTGCGCGGCCGAGGGGCGCTTCTCCCCACCTCCCTCCACCAGCTGGCGGGTCGGGCCTTCGTGTCACACACATCGAAAGGTCCTCAACAACACCCGTCCGTCCATCAACGCCGTGGCGGCCCTCCACCTCGGGCCGGAACCCCCCCTCCTGGCGGCTTCTCGGCCCCGCTTGATGGCGAGGACGACGATGACGCACTCGAGTACCTTCCGCGACAGGCATCGAGAGATCCTCAGCCGCCCCTGGTCCCGAGAGAAAGCTTCTGGGCACAGCGCGCGCCCTCGCCCGACGCGGCCCGGCCTCGTCGGACGGGTGCCACCCATTTCCTAGTGCCGACGCGTTGATGGTGTACGCCGCCACCCCCGTGGTAGCGCCAAACCGGTAGAACATACCAACAGCCTACCTGCTCGACACGCTATCGTAGCTTGACATGACGATATACCCAATTGTGTCTCCGGAGCTTGGGGCACAAGGCCTGCGGTGTGGACGGTCTTGCTCAAACATTCCGGGACCAAAGTCCTCTACTCCTTTGAAGTATCAGAAACGAGACAGGAAACAAGGTAAATAATGGAAATGACAGAATGGCAGAGAAGTGAAAGTGAGATGGGATTTCCCATCGGCGTCATCGGACATAAAGTGAGTGTAGCTTTTCATTTGGCCGCTGTGCCTGCTTTCAAGAGCTATTTTGACATCTTTCCAATATTAAACTCTTCACGTTATGTGCGCGTAGGGTTGGATGAACTCCTTTTCTGATTCCTATGCTAGTTTGGTCTACTAGGAGACGAGATGGTATGAGATGGTCTCCTGGCGGCCAAACGAGAAGCAGTTATGTCTCTAGATGCGAGTCTCAAGACAAATAACCGCAAATGTCCGCCAAGTAGACCGAGCTCCTACGAAAAACCTTCTCTGTCCTCCTCGACCGTAGTGGCCCATGATCAAGCCATTGTCCTATTCTCACCAACCATCCTTCTTGCCTCTCTCAATCCCAACTGAATTCATTGCGTGCCCGGGGAGTTAGCCTGGCTGTGGGTTCTCAACAAGAGAGTCTAGTTCAGGCATCACTTCTGAACCAGACTCCCTGTCAACCACTTACCAGCCAGTGCCAGTGCTTCCCCAGCCACCTTGAGTCTTCTCCTTGGCGTCCTGAGGGGCAGACTTCTCCTCAGCATCAGCGCCCCAGCCGCCACCCGAGTTGGCGTTGTCGTCATTGGTGGCACCCCAGCCACCACCGGCATCACCACCACCGTTGTCATTCTCCTGCTCAAAGTCGGAGTCAGCCTCAAACTTGAGGTTCTCACGGGCCTCACCCTCAGGAATGTGGTGGGCGAGAAACTCGGGGATCTCCTGCTGGGTCTCCAGCATGGTGCGCACAAGGACGCTTCCAAGAGGTTCGTCGCGATCGGTGAAGAATGAGGTGGCCATGCCCTTGTGACCGATGCGGCCAGTGCGACCGATGCGGTGCGTGTACTCCTCGATTCCTCCATGCTCCATGCTGGGCAGATCGTAGTTGATGACATGAGCCACGTTGCGAACATCGATGCCGCGCGCCGAGATGCCCGTCGCAACCATGATGGGCGTGGTTCCCTTGCGGAAGGCACGGAGAGCATCCTCACGCTCGCGCTGGGTCCGGTCGGCGTGCATCGAAGTGACAGGAAGACGCGCCTGGTTGTAGAGGTAGTCGTCAAGCTCATCAGCCTTCTGCTTCGAGTTCACGAAGATGATGGTGCGCTGGGGCGGCAGCGAGTTGAGAAGGTCCGTGAGAGCCTGACGCTTGTTGAAGGGCGCCGTCTCGACAACGCTCTGGATGATGTTGGCATGGGTGCTGCCAGCACGGCCGACGCGGAAGCGGACATGCGTCTCAGAAAGGTGCGTCTTGGCGAGGTCACGAATCTTCTTGGGGAAAGTGGCCGAGAAAAGAAGGTAGTTGATGTTTCCCTCCTCCTGCTCTGTGGTTTGAATTACGTGTTAGAATCTTTTTCGGAAGAGTCTCTAAACTTGGGAGGAAGTAAGCTTACCACCACCAGAAAGAATCTTCTCGAGGTCCTCGGTCCAGTCGTCGTGTAGAATCTCGTCCGCCTCGTCAATGACCATGTATTTGAGACGACGCAGCGTCAGGAGCTCAGGGCGCTCCATGAAGTGGATCAGGCGTCCGGGAGTGGCGCAGAGAATGTCGCAGCCCTTTCCGATCTGACGGACCTGGGCGCCAAAAGGACCGCCTCCATAGACAACGCCTGGGCGGAGCATGCTACGGTAACAGAGCTTGCGAGCCTCGTTGAAGATCTGGATTGCGAGCTCACGAGTCGGGCAAATAAGCAAGACTAGCGGCTCGGCGCGAATGGGGCCATGGATGTCGAAGTTGTAAGTGGCCGGGTTAGGGCGGGGTGCCGCGAGCTTCTTGGCCTTTCCCATGAGCTTGTTGATGATGGGGATCAGGAAGGCGGCCGTCTTTCCGGACCCAGTCTGCGCGATGCCGATCACGTCATAGCCCTTGTGAATGGCAGGCAGGCAGTATGACTGTATGGGAGTCGGCGTCTTGTAACCACACAGCTCGATGTTCTTGAGCATGGCAGGGTGCAGGCCAGCATCCTGGAACTTGAGCGCGGGAGCAACGCGGACCGGGCCCTCCTGGACAAGATCGATGCTGGCAATGGTGGAGAAATCAATGCCGGCACTGCCCTGGTCCTTGTTCTTGGGACCGAAGAGCTCATCCTCGAGCTGAGGGACTTCGGGGCCCAGGTCGCCCTCCTCACCGTCCCACTCATAGATGCGGGCGTCACCCTCCCAGGTATGATTGCGCTCCTCATTGCCGTAGTCATAAGCTGTACGGTCGACCCAGCCGCCCTGGGACTCCAGAGTCTGAGGCTCAGGCTCAGTAGGAGCCTTGCCAGTCTCGGGGAGATCGGCTGCCATCTGGCTGACCCCAAAGGCGTCGTGGGCCTGGACCCCCTGCTGGGTGCCAGGCTCGTTGGATGTCTCCCATCCAGACATTTTGGCTGATGTCAGACTGTTGTCTAGGTCGAATTAGTCCTTGCTTATCTATGATGTGACGGAATGACAGAACTGATACCGAGTATAGAGCTTACCTTGTGCTTGATGGATTCTGTTGCTTTCTGGACAAGTGTGATCAACGCAGCGATTCCAGAACGAGTCTTCTGGACCTTGGGAGAGCAGTAGATGTCAGTATGTCATGAGGTTGGGGTCAACAAGTTATATTCGGGCCGTGATGGGAGAGTTAAAAGGCAGTGTCGAAGGCCGACATGGGGCAGGATGGACGATCAAAGAGAAAAGCAGGCAGGCAAGGACAAGAGCAAGAGGAGTAGAGCGACCAAAGACACTACGAGCTTGATATTATCTCGTGGGCCTGGCCGAACCAAGAGGAAGCTGCGGCAGATGGTGGAGTGACTCTGATACTGCCCGTAGGCGGCGAGGTAGGGATGTGGGATGTGTATGGCGATGACAAAGGCGGGGTGGTGATGAAGGCTGGCAGCAGAGCAACGCGACGAGTGAGGCGGGCGGCAAGAGCTGCACAGTGATCCCTCTGCACGCTGCGAGCGCAGATGCTACTGTAGTTCGGGAATAGAGGCGGATGCGAGATGCTTCAAGGGAATATGCAGCGTATTTACCAGTGCTGGGGACAGGATCTGGCAAAAGAAAGAGGCCGAATCCAAAGTGTCGATGTTGTTGCGTTGGGGATGAAGGAAGGGAGAATGGGAAAAAGTTTGACGGGAATAAATAGGTGGTAGGTAGGGCAGGGAAGGAGGGCACAGACGGAAGGAGCTGCCCACGAACCGGGAGGAAATGTGGCAAGGCGGGAAGAGGTGGCACTACCACAGAGCCGCCCTCCGCACGCCACCCACACCCCTCTCGGGCCTGATATCAAGCAGGCCCGGGCGAAGTCGGAGTCTTTGGAGCTACAAAAAGAACTTAGGGTCCACAAAGAGAGTTGCTGAGCCGATATCTAGCCTATCATGGCTTTGAAAGACCATCCTAGCGTGCCAGAGGGCATCAAGAGGCAGCCGGGTACGCACGCAAGACAGCTGGCAGCCCATCAGGCGGCAGCTGGGCTCATAAAGCACAGACAAAGTATCATACGGTTCCCCCGGGAGCGTTGCTCCGAAGCTCCGGAAGACCGTGCAAGTGGCGTTTGCTGATATCTGCCTGTGAAGCTGCTGCCAGGGCGGGCGCTCAGACCACACGAACACGTATCCTGCCCGGGGAAAGCGGACAAGCGGCTGGATGTGGCCACCCGTGTGTGTACCTGGAGGGGTCCCATCACTCAAATACGCTGGGCTGGAGGAATAAATGATGTTTGCAGGAGGGCAGAAATGTCGGGCTGGCAGGCAGCACAAGGCACGAGAGGCATGGGACGGTTGGGTGAGGCAGCATAGGTCGGCCAGACCCTTGGTTCCATTTTGAGTTTTTTTTTTTTGATATTGGCTCTTGCAGGCGCATAGAGCAGCATGCGGTTACCCACGACAACGCAATCAGGCTGTTTGTTCGAGCTACCCATATGCTTCTCGAAATCTCTACAGCTAGCTGGAAGGCAGCGTGTGAACGGGAAGTTGCATTCCTTTATCTGACTGACGAAGGAGTAGCATACCTGGCTGGTTCAGGTATAATGCTGTTTGGAGACACATGCCTTTGATATTCGGCAGAGAAAAATTGCGGAAAGTGGGGGCAAAGAGCCAAAGCCGACACCCCTCCAACACACTCTAGTTCGCGCAAACGGGCTATTATGCAATATCGTAGCCCTCCATGCCGTCCTTCACGGCCAGGTCCAGTATGGCGGCCGCTCGGCCAACAGCGCCTCCCTCCTTCTTGGCCTCCTCAAGTCCCTTTGACACAACGACCTGCCACCGGGCAGAGAAGACGCGTTGGCGATCCTCACGGTCGGCGTACATCTCGCTATCGGCGTCCCTGGGAGCCCCGAAGAGGTTGAGATGCCCGAAGGGGTTTGAGCACCGCGGGAGCCGGTACAAGCCGTTCCAGTAAGCACTCGGGCCCGCCGAAGTTGACACGACCTCGGGCCGAAGGCCGATCTCGAGGAACTTGGCTAATGCTAGAAGTTGGCGTGCATAGGACTGACCGCCCTTGGCGGCGCCAAAGGTAGACTTGGGGGCCGAAGTCCAACCCTTTGTGGTCGTCGACGTCGTCTTGGACACAGAAGAAGTGGCGGCGCCCGCAGAGGCAGCAGCAGCAACGGCCGCGATGCTGCTCCAGCCGAGCATGGCGGCAAAGACGTTGAGCGTCTTCATCCAGCCGCCGGCGCAAGAGACGACCTCGTCGCCCGCGGTGTCCAGTAGCCACTCCATGACGCCAAGCGAGTCGTTGCGAACATCTGCCGAGAGATGCGTCATGCCGGCGCGCACGTACATGAGGACCTTCTCGGCCTGTTGGGCCACGTCAGCTCGTGGGAGGGTCTGGAACAACTTGAGAAGCTGGGTGCGGACGCCTGAGCACGTGTCCGAGATCAGCGGCAGGAGCCGGGCTAGGACGCCAGCCGTGCCCACGGGGTTGTTGGGCGGCTTGGCCGCCAGCTGTCCAGTCAGGAACGCCAGGGCATCGCGGCGTTGGTTCTCCGAGCGCGAGGATGAGGCCAGAGACAGGTTGTGCTTGAACTGCTCAGCTGGGCTCGGCCCATCAACAGTTATAGACTGTTGGGCGACGACGATAGCTACCAGGGGCTGTCAGCGCCGGATACTTTTCCCAGGGTCCTAGGTAGATGCCACTTGAAAGAGCACTCTTGAGCTGCTAGGAATACAAGATTTACCCTTTGATTTGAAGCTCGTGTCGGTAAAGCTGGCAGGCTTCTCCTTCGCCTTGCCTACTTTCAGCTTGGCTCTCTACGATGGGTTCACCGGATTAGCCATCAGTGGTTCTCCCCACCAGTACTAGGTAGGTAGGTTGGCTGGCTGGACGCTGGCGTTGCGAGTACCTGAAAGTCCTTCTTCTTCTCCTTCTTCTTCCGGATGCTAGACCCCATCGTGTAATCATGGGCAGCCAGCGAGAGGACTTGACATGCGACAGGGGTAATTCTCGCCGAACAGACTGTCGCAAACTCAATGCCAACCCCGGCGCGGCGAGAAATTTTGGCGGTGAAACAAGTGGGGCCGCGGCAGAATTCCAGCGGCACCGGACCCAGCTTAGGGGTACAGACAGGGGATGCTGCTGTTTCTCGCGGGGAGCTCTAGGTTGCTGCGGCGGTCGGTCGCTTCCACAAGCGCGCGGCCGGGAGCTCACGCACTGCTGGTACCTACGAAGACGGCGACGGCAACAACCCGACCAGCCGAAACCCCGAACGACTCTGCCTACCACACAGACCGAGAAGCCCGACATGGCCGACTTCCGGGGCTCTGTGAGCAACCAGGCGTCGGGAAGCGCCGACGGCGGCATCGACGGCTTGGAGGAGACCCTCGGGCGGCTGGCCAAGAAGCCAGGCGTTCAAGCCACCATCGTCCTGGACCGCACGTCGGGCGCCATCCTCAAGACCAGCGGCGAGATCTCCTCCATCAGGACGTCCCGAAGCGACCCGCTGGCCGCCTCGTCATTCTCGAGCGAGAATGGGCCATCCTCGGCCAGCGAGCCCCAGGGCGCCGAGCAGCTCGCCGCCATGGTGTGGGGCTTCATCAGCGCCGCGGGCGCGCTGGTGCACGACCTGGACTCTGAGGTGCGTTTGCGTGTGCGGCGCGGCGTCTGCTGGCAACGTTCCAGAGCCCCTCCAGTACCACATCAAAGCTTGTGCACTAACATTCACCATGGTTCAAACAGGACGAGCTCAGGCTACTGCGATTGCGGACGAAGAAGCAGGAGCTTGTCATCGTGCCCGATCCAAAGTACCTTCTGATCGTTATCCACGACACGCCGGCGGCCTGACGGACCCGAGCCACGAAATCACCCAGGCCGCGGGGCCTCGACGCATGCAGACTGCAACGCGCTCCTTGCTCGTCAATGCCGCGTCAAATTCCCCAGTCGGAAGACTCATCCACCGCCAACCTCCAATATGGCATCGTGATTAGGCTGGCTGGTGACATGTCATTGGAGGAGCGCAGAGAGCAAAGCAAGGAAGAAGAGACAACAGCACAAAACACAATGATACCCCCGAGATTACAATGCTCCCAACGGCAGGCGGTTGATTAGGGCCCCTGGGTCTTACATGGCTCACCGGTATTACTAGGTGCACTGTCACCAATATTGCATGCAGGAGCCGGCGACCCCTTCATGTGAGCAAGTGAAAAAAAAAAAATCCCCGAGATGTCAAGTCTCGAGCCCGGCCATCGGGCAGAAGGTGGTGTTGGCAGTGGCATCCGCCCTCGCGTGTCCTGCACCCGCCCGGGGTGAGATGCACGTTGCCTTCGGCGCGTGGCGACTCTCCCGAAAACACTCATCTCTTGTCATTTCCCTCGGAACGATTCCCGGGCGTGGCGGCAGAGGTGGATGGGCATGAGCGCAGGGGAGCGGCTGCGTACATACCGCAAGGTCGTGTGGCCGGATGCGACTTTGGGACTGGAGGACACTCTGGCTGCCGGTGGGATATTCAGCCTATCTCAGGGGAAATTGTGATCCCGCAGCGATCAATTCCCGACATCGTGGATTTGATTTCCCGAGCGACGCGATGTCGCCTTTGCGCAGAATGCACCCCCTCAGGGTGTTTGCTGGCACACAAGTGTGCGGGAGAGGGCCAAGGGAAGCACAGGTGTGTCGACATAGCATAAATGTAAAATCAATCTTGTTTGTTTCCATGTCTGGAGCGCCCAAATCGGTGCCGAATGCGCGTCTACGGCGTGGGCCCCTCGGGGAAAATGTACCGTCCAAGATTGCATGGGGCAATATATTGTTTACAACCTGCAGCCAGCTCCCAAAACGAAACATGCGCGAAGTCTCCAGGGAAGTTGCCGGGGTATAGATGTGCCCAGGGATGTGGCAGCTAGATCATGGAAGGCATCGCATTGCATTGTCATCGCAATATCGGTCGGATTAGGGTTGTCGGAATAAGTCGTATTTGCCAGCCTCCTGCGACAGCATGCGACATCTAAAAGAAGGTTGAGATCCCGCTACTTTTGACGCTACAGTACACGCTCGTTTATGCTGCTGCCATGCCGAAGCCAATGCATATTTGTGTCCAAGGCGAGGGGATGTGGAATCAAACCACATGCGTCCACCTGCATCGAGAACGCTGCAGCTGCAGATTAGAAGCGCCAAACCCACCCACACTCACCCAATCTGAACCGTCCAACCGTCCTCGTCTACCCTCGCCTTTTTTGAATTGCGTCAGATTTTAGAGCCGACAGGGCGTTTCTACATGGGATCTTGGCAAAAACAGGGCCAGATTTACCAAAAATAATGAAACAATGCCCCAAGTCCGGCAAGGTGGGTGGGCACCGCATTGCTAGGCTGCTGCTGAACGCGAGAGAGAAAGAGGCCATCCATCCCTGCCATGAACTGCCCGCCTCCCCCCGACGGGCCAATCTACACAGTCCCATCCATAGGCAGCCTCTCAGTCCGAAACATTAGCAGACGCATCCGATCCGAGAGGGCCGCAGCCAGTCAGGACCGGGGAGGAGGATGGTCCCATCCCGTTGGGCGCTGCGGTGCGCGCGGCTGGCCGAGGGCTTTTTCTTTTTTTACTTTTCCCCTTGATAATGTAACGCCCGGCTGGAGGCATACTCAAGCGGCGGGGGGAGGGGGAGTGAGTGAGTGGGCGAGCGAGTGAGTGCGGGCGGAAAGACCCGCGGGTTGTTTACCATCCTCGTTTCTTGCCCCCTTTTTATTCTGGGGACTGTCATGCATGCCGATTTGATTTGAGATTGGTGCTTTTCCGATTCCCGTAAACACACGCAAGCAGGTTTCTTGGTCGTCTCCGATGGGGTGTGTTTCCATGTTTCCCACCTTTTGTAGTGGCGGGGGGGTGGGTATCAATGAGTGGCTCGTTGCTCCATCAGATCCGATCACCGAGAAGGGCGCCCTCACGCTCCATGGACCAAGCTCTGGCTCTCCCCTTCTGGCTTGCTTGGGTTTTATGACGGCGACTCTGTGATACGACATTCCATATAAAAAGTGAGGCCATGATTGGGATGGACGTTGGGGGCTGCTACATCCGAGACAGGCCCAACCCAACTTGCAGGCTGACTGCCCTGAGGCGGGCCCCCCTTTCGCGTCGTCGGCCGGCGCAGGAGCACGAAGCCAAGTCGCGTTCCGGCACTTGGGGACGAGGGCAGGCAGGCCTTAGGTCGTAGGCTGCTTCGGCAAGCCCCGTAATGTTTTCTTCCCTGGGCCGGCGTTTCTTATCTCTCTTCCCTCTAACGAGGAGCCTTACCCGCGCAGTGGGAAAGCATGGCTGGCAATACCGCAGCCCGCCCCCGAACGGCCATGACGAAGCGAGCAGGGTATGTTCGGCGGACCTGGGCGTGTCCCAATAGATGGGTAGGTCCGTAGCCGCGAGGTGGGATACATGGTTGGTTGCTCCCCTCGCATGTTGGCGTCGTGACGTGCAGTTCGTCGTACCTTGGCTCGTTCCCCGTCATATGTATTGGGTACCCTTTTCCCCCGTCACTTGTCTTTGTTCCCCTTGCTCCCCTTTTCTGGCTTTCCTCCAGCCTCGCTGTTTCTTGTCCGTTTTCCATTCTGCTTTTCGTCCTTTTGTCTTTCTTTCTTCCTCTCCACCGGATATCTGCAGCTTTCCGGCGAAGGCTCTGACAGCTTGTTCCGCTCCCCCGGCCATTTGTTCCAGCAAGACCCTGGTCTGACCGACGAGGATCGACGACCACTATACGCTCGCTCGGTCTCGCACCATCTGCTTACCCTCGAGTTTATTCATCGCTACGAATCCCAGGATCGAAAAGAAAAAATACAGGCTGCTTGACGGAAAGGGTCCTAGAAGGAAGCAACACAAGCGACTCAATTGATGGTGCAGCGCAGCATCCCACCCGCTGCACCAAACGGATGGGTGTGCACGATTTGGGTGCATGGAGAGTGCATGGGAGCCCGCGCGTGCGTGTGACTGACCAAGGCGATCCTTTGTGGAGACACGACCTATAGAAAGAAAAAAAGAAGAAGCAAAAAAAGCGGCTGGATCGAAACAGAGGAGGGAGCGCACGAGACGGACCAAGGCGAGCAAAAGGATGCCGTCATTCTCCCTCCTTCGCCGGTCGCCGAAAGACCGCGCGCCGGTGGACCAGCAAGCACAGCAGGCACAGCAAGCGACCAAGGGTGGTGGTGGCGTCGGTGGCGGCTGGGTCGCATCGTGGGCAAGACAGGCGGACCAGGACGGCGGCGACAGGGTCAACCCCACCGATAGGGCCAACCACAGCGACGGCGGCGGCAGCGGAAACGGCAACAGCAACGGTGCCAACGGCAGCGACAGCAACGGCAGGAGCAGGCGCGGGTCGAGTTCCAAGCGCGAGCTGCTCCACGGGCTGATCAGTCGGTCCATGCGCGGGCGAGGCCGGCTGCTGGTCTCTGCGTCAGGCTCGTCGTCAGCTGGTGCGTCGAACCCACCAGCGGCGGGGGGCCTGGTGGTGGCGGCAGCGCCTGCCCCGCCCTGCACTCTCGAGCCAGCAGCAACAGGGCACAGGCCACCCCCAAAGGCAGGCGAAACCATCGTCGGCCTGGTGCTTGCGGTAAGTGTGTTGTGCACTGCGCTGCACTGACGTCGACCAAGGGCAAGAGTCAAGTCGTGCAGCGGCCTGGAAGCCCATCATTGATCCCATTCTTTATTTCCCCATTGATCCCATCGTCGCTCCCAATCCCACTCCACCCCCAGCCCCAGCCAGCCATTCACATACCTCCCCCGGTCTGCTTGAGCATCTTCCTGCATCGAGTAGTCATGGCGCTGCCGTTCCCCCGCCCCAGATGCACTCCCGATTGACACCACAGACCCCTGTCCTCCACACTTTGGATCGTCCGAGGCGGGGATCCACTCCTCAGTTGGCACCCTCGCTCTTGCCCCTTTCCCTCCCCCTCCCTCAGACCACAACCGCCATTCAAGGCCCAAGGCCCGTGGACGGCGCGTGATCATTATGGTTTATGTTCCTGCATCGTATGAGCAGCCAGAGAGCAGCGCCCAGAGCCCATTGCTACCTCAGACTCCCCCATTGACCTTCCATTCCCAATTCCCTTTCCATTGTCGTGCCATCTCTACTATCTGCACTGCGTGTTTTGTCTAGAACCACTGGAACCACCAACCACTGCTGCTAATGCATGCCCATTGATCGTCTGCGCGCCGTCTTGTTGCAAGCAGCCTTTCGCTAGAGCGTGCTTCCACTTTCTCTTCTCTTCTCTTCTCTTCTACCTCATCCATCCACCACGCCGTTGAGTCGCCGGCGCCTGCGGCTGCATCGAGTGTGCAGTTGCGTTTATGTCTCCTTCTCTTGACGTGCCCGACCATATTGTCCACCTCGGGCCCGCCCGTCCTCTTCGACTGGATATAATCCCACCGTTCCCGTCTTCAGGGTCCAGAAAGCTGACATTTGGAGCTACCTCTGCTGCGGCCCTCATCCCGCCCACTTGAAAGTCCCCAACTTCTTCGTCGATAACGACAACTACAGCGACGGCCACATCAACATCGAGCCCTCCCTTCAGTCCACGATCTGCCTGTAACCCAAACAAGCCGTTGCCATCTCCCCCGCCACCAGGTTCCGAGGAAGCCGCCAAGACGCCTCCGAAGAAGCCAACGCTGAAGCTAGCACGCATCATGTCAACCCTTACCGACTCGGAGCTCGAGAAGCTCTTCTCAGGGGCCCCGCAGTACTTCGCCCGCTCCGAGGGCCCCAACACAGGCGCGCCCAACCCTAGCGTTGCCTTTCCCTGGGACGAAAGCCTGGTCATCCGCGACCTTACCGACCACACCCAGATAGAGGATGAGGCATGGGGTTGCACCACGGCCTTGCCGCACATCACCTGCAGCCCCCGCAGGCCCGGGAGTAGCGGCAGCAGTGGCAGCAGCTGCAAGGCCAAGCGTGCTCACTTCTACCCCAAGTGCCACGAACGCCCCAACATGCTCAGTATGCACGGCCTGGAGAAAGGCACCGTTGGCTTCTCTGCCGCCATGGAGCTTGGCGTATCCGATGCTCTTCAGGAGGAGCAGTTTGGCTTCGACCCCTCGGGCCACCGCGCCAATGCCATCATCGAGGCGCGCCAGAGGATGCTGACGTCCAAGGATGGGCTACGCCACATGGAGGAGAGTGCCATAATGGAGCAGCTGATCAAGAATGGCCATAGATATGTGACCAACAACATCCAAGACAATACCCTGTCGACTGCTCTCTACAACGAGCTCTTTCTGCACATCCTCCACCCGCCCACTCGGGTTCTTGACCACAGCGACCCCTACAGCCTCTCGGTTCAGATCCATGCCCTCCTCAAGGTTCTGGGCACTCCCAATGTTTGGGTCGACTTTTCCCACGTTGAATGGCGCATCCGCCTTGGCCAGATCCTCTGGGGCTCTTCTGCCGACTCATCCGAGCCTGAAGATGATGTGGAGGATATCAGCCCCGACACTCCAGCGGCCCCTACTGGCGCCGAGGCCCGCTCTGAGGAGCGTTACTGGCTGTTGCTCCAGATCCTCCTGGCGTGTGAGCTTTGGATTCGCCTGGACGCCATCGTTGAGGCCGACGACGCGGGTGTTGGTCACATAAAGCCGCGCGAGATTTACCGCTTCCAGCAGGAGGCGACGCCCTCGGTCAAATGGTCCATGTTGATGGCCCGCGCATGGCTCGAAAACATCGAGATCACGAAGGCCGAGCTGCCCAAGCTTGGCGTGGATCTGGATGGCCATCAGCCGACGGGTTGGTTGGCGACACTGACGAAGCGTATGTCGTTGACCAGCGATCACCACAGCGGCGGGGCCGGTGGCAGCACGCAAGGCTCTCGGCCCACGTCTAGCCGCCTGGTCGACGACCAGCCCGCCTATTTGATGAAGGGAAAACACGGGCAGCGGCAGGTCGACGGGCTGACGCACTTTGCGCGCCGCCTGAAGTGGCCCGACATCGAGTCGTACGAGAACCGCATCTCGACCAATATCCGCGCCGTTGCCAACGGCACCACTCCCCTCAACTCCCCTCCTGCCAGCCCCTTGCCCACCACTGAAGCCCGCCGGTCATCTTATTTTGGTGGCACCTCGGGAATCTTTGCCAAGCACCTGGGCAGCGCACACGCCAGCACCACCAACGGTGACGCCGGCGGTGCCACCAAAGTGACCCACATTGCCGACCAGATCCGGCGCCGGCCATCCAAGCGGCGTAAAATCTCGGCAGCACTGCACCCCTCAGGATGGCTCTCCAAGAGCTATGTGTCGGGCTTCATGCTTCCTGGCGAGGGCCTTAGTCACTTTATCATGTCGACACTGCTCGAGAACGACGCCGAGGCGATGCGCCGCCTGGGCCCCGTGGCCAACCTCTGTGGTGGCTTCGTTTACTGCCAGAAGAGCTTCTGGAGCACAGCATGCATTGTGGGCCGTGTCGTGGCGGCCGGCAAGGGTGCCGTCGAGTGCATGGGTTGGATCTCGAGTGATGTCACACCCCAAGGATTGGGTGACGGTTGGCTAAATATCGAGGTGGCCGAACCGCAGGGTAAGAGCAAGCCTATTCGCCACCCTTGCCCTTGGCATCGAGAGGACCGGACAAGCTAACATTGCGGCGTAACTGCTAGGCGAGTCGGCTCGCACGGGGAAGCAGGCGAGAATCTGGGGTAAGCTCGCCGTTGAGAAGCAGTCTTCAGTACTTGGGGATGCCGATCCGGACTCGGTATTTCCGGCCGACTTCATCATCCCCTTCGAGAACATCTACAAGGCATCACAGCCTCCCTCGCTGTACATCGAACTGAAGTCCCTGAAGCTTTTTGCGCCGGTCGACTCGGTACACACGACGCCGACCGGGTCACTGCCTCAGAGTCCCATATCCGATGGTACTCCTGCCACCATGGACACCGCCGCCACCAGCGCGGCGCCTGAAATCCACACGTACCCCGCGGCTGTGACCTTTTCGGTCGCAGAGGATTACGATGATGGCGACATGGACGTTGAGAAGGAGTACACGTTTTGCCTGTCTCACGACGTCTACTTCGTGACGGCGCACCCGTGTGTACCGTCACAGCACGTCCGGATCTTGAAGTCGCCCTCAAGTCCCACAATTCAGCAGATCGACCTCGACAGCGGGAGCACCAGCAGCGGCAGCAGCATGAGCGGGTTCGGCAGCAAGCCGTCTAGCAGTGCCAACATCACATGTGAGCACAATAGACCGCAACTACTACAGGATCACGGCATACTAACAGGACCGTCTTGATGAAACAGGCCACCCGCTGCACAAATACTACACGTACACGGCCATTCACCTCTCGGAGCTCCTGGCCCGGCGAGACTCGACGCTTGAAGAGCTCCTGAACGAGCCGGGAGCTAGCGCGCACCGCCGGCCATCAATCACTCCTGGCCCGCATGCCAACAAGCCGCCGCGTGTGCTTGTGGTGGACTGCATCACGGGGTTCTTGCCCCAGCCGCAGGCACATGAGATTCCACTGTCGCCCGTCGTGAGTCGCACGAGCTCCATGAACATCAACTGGCCGCAGCCACAGCAGCAGTCCCAGGTGTCGCCTCCTTCCTCTCCGCGCCGTACAGGAGGATATGCCGCGGGTGGTAGCAATGGTACCGACGACCCATCTTCGCCATCAACGGCCCAAAAGATGCACTCGGAATCGCGGCGCCGCCAGTTCGGGTCCGACATGGAGATTCTTGTCAGAGCCATCTGCGCCGAGAAGGGGTGGGACGCGCTCATCAGCCGCCGCAGGAGAGGCTGCCTCTCATGTGCCATCCGAGAAGCTGGCGCCCTCGGGTGGAAGGTCATCATCCGAGTGGACTGAATGACTTTCCATGGCCACCTCTTGATGCGCTTTCACTCATGCCCTTCTCTTCTCATGCCTTGATTTATCACACTATTTTCATGTGCATCTATCACTATCTACCCATTCCCTTTGCGTTCCTAGTTGCGAGGGCAAAAAGTTGATGAGCGAGGCGTTTCGACTATAGTGGGTTTTCATCTGCCCCGTTCCGCCTGCTTCTTTTATCCTTCTCTTTTGTTTTTCTCGGTGTATCGATTACCACTCTTTTTATGACTGATGGATGCCTATGGAACTGGACCTTTTATCACTATCTCTTCTATTGTAATACACCTTGCTTGGGATACCAAACGCTTGCCCACAAATGTATCTGCGGCTCTGTGTCGGACTGAGCGTTGAAGAGCAAAAAAGAGCAAAAAAGAGCAAAAAAAGAGCAAAAAAGAGCAAAAAAAGAGCAAAAAAGAGCAAAAAAAGAGCAAGACCAGGTTCCTTTCATGGAGGGCCCAAGGGCGATGTGGGTAACATGTCAAAGGGTGCTCTTCTTATTTTCTTTCGGGTTCCTTGGAATAGCTTCTGGCTGACATTGGTCGTGATACCCTCCTTTGTTACAGCTGCGTACTTGTGGGAAAAGTGAATTCACAACTCTTATGATATGCAGAGTGGCCATTCACTATTGTTGTTGCAGCCGTTGCCCTTGAAGGTCGAGGGCCTTGAAGCAAGCTGATGTCCCGACTACAATGTCTAGATAAACCACGTGAGCAAGGCCTGGAGGAAGCACCCAGGTGGTGACTTCACCACGGATATGTTTACATGGAAGAAGGCGATTGGACTGTCATTTTTAGTTGTCTGTTTCGCATTTATATTTTGGCAGATAGGTGGTAAAACATCACTCTCTAAACCAATCATGGTCTGCCAACCGAATCACTGTCCACCCACCGTTTTCTTTCGGCCGTCGCCAACAATTTGGCCACCCCAGCAGTCAGTGGTCGTTGATCTGCGGCACGCGGCCAGACGACAGTCACACAACATCACACCCCACTGTCATGTGTTTACCCTGCTACCGCAGCCTAGCCAGTTCGTTGGAGGGCGCCACAAGAATTCTTGCCAGTTCAGTCCCTGGCAAACAGACCAGAAGCAACTCACTCAACTTTGGCGACCCCAACACAACCGCCTGCGGTGCTAGTCTCTCTAAGCCAAAGGAGCTCGAAGCCTCGCCAACCGACTACTCCTGGGTGGGGGACAGTCGGTTCCTCATGCGGCTACTCGCACCCGGCCTGTCGCCATCCTTGCGTTGGATTCTGGATGATATGTGACGGGGTTTGACAGGCGCGAAGGAGGTTCAGCGGCACGCCTCTTTTGGGGCCCATCACGACCAAAGAACCGGCTCGGTCGTCGTCTTGCTCCGACCCCCGAGGATCAGGGACCTCCCTCCGCCGAGCATACGCAATCCCCTCACCATAAGTCCGCATCTTTCATTTTGGGCGTGGCGGAATGTAGAGCAGACTGTCACGGGACTACAATTAGAAAAAGAAATGGGGTGTGTTCCGAGGCACTGATGTGTAAAACCGCTTCACTTTCCCCCCTCATGGTTCACAAGGCCAAAGATTACACTCATTCATGTAAAATGTTGTACCCATGAGCAAATCTACCCGTCCCAGATTGATACAGAGAAGTATGGAGAGGGTAGGAAAAGGCGGGATATTAAAGATGGAAAAGTGGGCCGACCGAAGCCGGCTTACGCGGCAGTGGTGTCCATCGCCCGGCTCTGGTACGATTCCATATGTCTCGAGTGCAGCTCCTGCACGGCGGGGATGATGAGGCTCTCGATCTCCAGGTCCGGGTCGCCGTCGGGCAGCGCGGCCGGGTCTATGGGCCTCTCTTCACTGGCCGAGGTTGCCTGGGAACCTGCGGCGGCGGCGGCGGCGGCTGTGGGCAGACGGATCCAGCGGTCCGGGCAGGCGGGGGCGACAAAGACGACCTCCCACTTGCGGGTGGCGAGCAGGTTGCCGATGACGAGGTGGTGCTGGTAGCGGTCGAGCGAGTAGCGGGCCTTGTGGACCAGGATGGCCGGGTCGGTCTCGAGCTTGAAGGACACGATCATGCCCTGGGGCGCCCAGCCGTCGACCAGGTTCTTGAGGAACTTGGGCACCGGGTCCAGGTCCACGACCAGGCGCTTGGAGCGGGGGACGCGGGGGGACGAGTCGAAGTTGTCAAACGTCTCGCCGTCGTCGGCCGCAGCCGCTGTCGGGTCCTGGGCGCCGTCGTCGTCATCTGGGAGCGGTGGCTCGCCACCGGCGGCGGCGGCGGCGGCGGCGGCGGCCTGGTCCTGCTTTCGCTTCTTGGCGGCCGGAGGGGCGGCGGCGGCGGCGGCACCGGGATCCGGGTCCAGGGCGTTGGTGGACTGGATCTTGTGCTCGGCCATGCGCTCGGGCGGGACGAAGAAGTCGGAGACGGCGGCGGCCAGGTACAGCAGGCCGCGGGGGCCGAGGGGCCGCATCAGGCGGGCGACGGCGCGCAGCTCGTACAGGTAGTCGGTGATGGTGACGAAGGGCAGCATGAGCAGCAGGTCGCCCTGGCGGGCGGCGCGGTACTTGCGCAGGACGCCGAGCATGCGGGCGGCGTGCTCGGGGTTGGCGACGACGCGGCCGGTGCCTGTGCCTGTGCCTGTGCCTGCCCCGTCGCCGTCCTGCGATGACCCCTCCTCCTCCTCGTGCAGGAAATCCAGGAAGCAGGCGGTCGGGGTGTGGCTGTAATGGCGCGAGTAGGGCAGCAGCGAGAACTGGCGGTGCAGGAACACGACGGCGTAGCCGGCCTCGAGGAAGCACTCGGCCGAGGTGGCGCCGCGGGTGCCGGCGCTGAAGTTGTCGATGAAGCGCACCGTCTGGCGCTCCAGCGGCACGGTCGTGCCGCCCGACGTCACCAGCACCACGCGCCGGCCCGCGGCCCGGTGCGAGTCGATGAAGGCCCGGGCCAGCGCCTCGTGCGCGGCCAGGCCCTTGGGCGGCGGGTTGCTGCCGAAGTAGTGGTCCTCGGCGGCCAGGTCTGGCGTCATGGGGGGTGGTGGTTGGGGTGGCATTGTGAGTGTGTTGAGGATGTGGGTTAGGGGGAGAGTGTGAAGGTGAGGGTGAGAATGAGAGTAAGAGTGTTGTCGATGACGAGGCAAGACACACCAAGGCACGCCCAGCAGCGACAGGAGGCAGAGGCTGGCTGTCAATCCTGTCAATCTGTGCTGGGTGATTTATATAGGTGCCCAGAATACAGCCGAAGACAGGTGAGACCAGACTGCCACATCAACCGAACAAATGCCTCGGCAACATCACCAGACGGATCCAAACGTGGGATTTGATGTGGGCAGATCAATTATCAATTGCATGGGCTGTCGGCTAGCGGCTCAGGTGCGCTGTGATGGCGACACAGTGCGGGTCTTGATCACAAACGCCACCAAATATACTGGATTGTATCAAGTCCCTCAAGTCAGAGCCACCAACGCAGCTCATCTACTTCTATCTACTTCTAACCGGCTTCTATCAAAACACCACCAGCGGGTTCCATCCAACCACATAGACCCGCGCCGCCACAAAGGCCACCAGCGACGCGCAGTACAGCAGCCCCGTGAACAGAATCAGCCCCCAGTAGCGGCCCCCCTCGGTCACGCCTACAATGTTGCCGGCGATGGGGATGCCGACGAGGCAGGCGAAGGACACGATGGTGTACGTGGTGGCGTAGTAGCGCCCGTAGTTCTGCGTCTTGCACAGCCGGCCGATGCACAGCGGCGCCAGGCTGATGTTGGTCCCGCTCGCGAACCCGAACAGCACCGCAAACACGACTATCCCGGCCGTCGTCCCGCCCGCCGGCCACCACACGGCCAGGCACGCCACGATGGACTGCACGATGGCGAGGATGTTTGCGTTTGCCGGCCCGATGATGTCGGCCCACCAGCCCGGCAGCGCGCGCCCGACGACGGACGCGGCGTTGAGCACCGTCATGATGCGGAACGAGAAGGCCTCGTCGAAGCCCTGGGCGCGCGCGTACAGCGGCAGGAAGCCGAGCGGGATGAAGAGGCCGAACTCCATGAGGAATATGCCCAGCGTCGTGAGGGCGAAGGCGCGGTCGCGCAGGATGCGCGGGTCCGGGCGCGCGCGAGCCCCGCGCTCGGCGGGGAGGCGGCTGCGGATCAGAAAGTTTGCGCCGACGGCCAGCGCCGTGCTGACGAGGCCCATGGCGCGGACGGACCACGCGAAGCCGACGCGCTCCAGCAGCGACGCCAGCAGCAGCGGGAAGACGACGCCGCCGACGCCGCCGCCCGAGGACGCCACGCCCGTGGCCAGGCCGCGGCGGTCGCGGAACCAGTGGCCTATGGCGGCGATGGACGGCGTGAAGAGCAGCGCCGTGGCGGCGCCGTTGACGAGCCCGAACACGAGCATGAAGTGCCAGTACTCGACGCAGGACCCGAGCAGCATGGTCCCCGTGGCCAGGAGCGCCGTCCCGCCCGCCACGAGCCAGCGGGGGCCGTACTTGTCGAACACGGGGCCGATGTACAGGCCCAGGAAGAAGGAGAGGAAGGTGTAGACGGAGAAGATCCAGCCGACGGTGCCCTCGGAGCGGTCCGCCAGCTGGTGCTTGGACACGTACGACTGCAGCACCCCGATGGTGTTCATGAGCCCCAGCGACGCCACCAGCGCCATCCAGGACCCCAGCACCACCAGCCACGCGCGCGCGCCGCCCTCCGGGTACGTCTCCTCGACCGGCTCTTCCTCTCTCTCCTCCTCCTCCTCCGCCGCCGCCGCCGCCGCCACAGCCGCCCCGGCTTCGAGCGAGCCCGCGTTGTCGCCCTGTCGTTTTTGGGCCCTGCTCTCCACCACGAACAGCACCGGGTTCAGGTTCCGGGACTCGTCTACCGCTCGCTCTTCCTGTAGTGAGGGTTCCGGCTGGGCGCGCCCGTTCTTGTCCTGCTGGCCCGTGTCGGCCGCGGGCCCGGCTGCGTCCTTCTCTTCCATCTCGACCGGGAGTGAGTGCGCAGGCGGAGAGAGAGAGAGAGGACGGATCACGACGGTGGAAGAAACGGACAGCGGGTTTGTTTAATGTCTTTTTTTTTTTTTTTGGGTCTGTACTCTTGCTCCGCAGCTCTTCTCGTCCTTCTTCAAATCCACGGAAACGATGATATGAATGGGGGCTCAGAGTTGGCGCCAAAAACAGCCACCTTGTGTGTTTCAAGAGGCAAATCGAGATCTGCCAGACAGAAACTCGACCTTGACAGGCAAACTGAGAGCAAGATAGGCTTTATACCAATGGTGATTTTTCTGCCGTAGCCCTTTCAAGAAACCCCGGCTGTTACGTACAAGAAAGCAATAAATGAGCCATCCAATTTTGTTTGCTCCAGCTTACCTATTTTCCACTGCGGGGACGGCGGCTGGAGTTCGCCTCGGCTCCGCTTCCGGCGGCTTTGCCGTGACCCGCATGCGATAGAGAGAGGGAAGGGGGGGTCGTCTAGCATCGGGCATTTAGTCCGGTCCGCTAGGCCTGGTCTAGCGCTGGCCGTAGCCGACCCCCCCTCCCTCCTCTCCCTCCTCGGGCACACACACCGGTCTGCACTAATGCAGGCCCAGTCGAGAGTGTGGGTTCGGCTACTTTCGGAACTATGTGATGCCTTGCATGGGATGTGCACAATGGTCATGTTCTTCGGCGGCCCTCTTTGGCAGGATGGCGCTCCGGTTGGTGCAACGGCGGTCTGGCAATGATACCAGACAAAAGCGAGGCTGAAGCGCATGACTATGCCTCGGTTGGCGGGTGCTAAAAGTAGAATGACAAGAGGAATAGCAATGAAATCATAAATGGGAATGATGCTAATGACAGGAACAACGAAAGAAATAATAACAGGAATTTGTGGTGGGCGTTGGGGGCAAGGCTCGACGGGGCTGCCAATGGAATGCACACATGCGCATGGACTGACCAGTCAATAAGGGCAGTCATTATCATGTATTGCAGCCCAAGAACCACCATGTTCCGGCCTTTCGAGTTACATGTCAGACCCCTGGCTCTGACGGCTCCTCGATAGCCCCCTTCCTCAAACCAATGCATCACCTGCCCCCGTCCTCATCCGCCACCTCCTCCAGCGTGACCTGGTGCAGCCTGCTGGCCGCCTGCTCCTCCTCCTCCTCCTCCTCATCCCCCTTCGCCGCCGTCGCCGTCTTCATGTACCCCTCGCTCTCCAGCCGGTCCGCCTCCTCGGGCTCCATCAACCTGCCGCCCTCGCCCTTGCCCATGGCCAGCTTGGACGCGACCGCGGCCGGCACGAAGGCGCTCGTCGCCTCCTTGAGCAGGTTGCGCACCATGGGCTTGGCCTCGTACACCACCTTTGGCTCCGCAGGGGGGGCGGTCGGCGGCGGCCTCCGCCGCTGCGGCAGCGTGCCCTGCCTCTGTGCTGCTCCGTCGTCCTCGCCGCCGCCGCCGCCGCCGCCCAGGCCCCTGTCGTTGGTCAAGGGCTCCGCGTTGGCGCTGCTTCCCACACCCGCGTAGCCAGCGCCGGTATTCCCACCGCCGCGTCCCCCACCGCCACCACCACCGCCGCCGCCGCCGCCGCGCTTCGCCCTCCGCCTCGCCCACCACCTGTCCAGCACCTCCTTCGGTATCGGCGGCGGCGTGTCGCGCGGCATGGGGATGGCGCGCACGTCGTCGGGCACCTCGTCGCTGTCGCTGTCACTCTCCCTCCCGCCGCCCCGCCTCCTCCCTCCCGCCACCACAATATCGTCGTCGTCATCCCCTCTCCTCCTCTTGCCCAGCGCGCCGCCGCCGCGACCACCCTCCCCGCCCTCCCGCGGCGGCCCCCTGCTGCTGAACTGCGGCGCCTTGTCGCCGAGCGCCTCGCGCGCCTTGACGACCGCCTTGAGCTCCTTCTCGAGCCCCTCGAGCACCTGCTCCTCGTGCCGCGTGAGCTTGCCGCCGCCCTCGGCCACCTTCTTGAGCTCGTCCACCTGCCGCTGGATGCCCTCGGGGTTCCGCCGCGCGAGCCGCTCGTTGCGCCGCGCTTGCACCTCGGCCTTGCCTGTGAGAGAGAGGGTTAGCAGAGGTAGGAGGCCAGGAAAGAAAAGAAGAAGAAAAGAAGAAGAAGAAGAAGAAGGCGACGAGGTTGGGCGCTGGTGGAGAGGAAGCAGGAGGGGACGAGATGCGAACCTTTTTTGATCTCCTTGGCCTTGTCCGCTTTGCGCTGCGCCTGCACCGGATTGAAGCCTTTTTCCTTCACCATCTTGAGGGATTGTGTGGCGCTTTTTCTTGAGATCGACAGCGGCTATGCGGGAACAGTTGGCGTTTGGCGACAAAAGAAAGGTTGACGACAGGCTTCATGAGATGGAACAAAATAAGTGACGATAACTCTACCGAAGATGCAAGCTAATTGGGGGGTTATCTTATCAGCCCGAGACGCGACGCGGCGCCCTGGCAGCACAGTGCGGGTGCTGTTTTGACACTCATCCACATTCGCCCTCCTATCCAAAGACCGCACAAGGTGTAAATTTCATGCCGTCTCATTACTATACTAAAGAAAACGGAACTGCGCTTCTAGAATATGGCAAGCAAAAGGCACCGGAAATCCCCTCCCTCGCCTGGGTATCGACAAACCCCCGGAATGGGGGCGGGAAAAAAAAAAATGCAAAGAGAGCCGAGCGAAAGCAAATCAGAAACCCATCCATCCCCTAGGCCACCCGATCTGGCTGGATCTCGTCTCATCTAGCGAAAAAGAAGAGAAAAACCTCCACCCGTCTCTTTCTGTCGACGTCTGGCATTCCCTGTCTCGCTGACCTTCCGTGTGCGATGTCACGGATTAGATAAGCCAAGGAGGACAACCAGGCCACACCAGATCCTGGGAAAAGAATCATAAGCCAAAGATTCCTGGTATCAATCGGCCAAATAAACAATAACAAAGCATAAATAGCCAAGAAACGAGGGTTCCGAGACCAGCCGTCCACCGACGCCTGCCACGGTAGAGGTGATGGGGAATCAAGTCAAAAAGATCTCGCAAAGACGAACAAACTAGGCGATAGATGCATGCTGATAGGTACGGTGTAGATATGATATGATGTTCGCAAAGGAGGCATCTTGGACGGGTCGTAAGAGAGTGAGTGCCGGGTATATGGTAGTAGATCTCCCCATAAAAACATGAGCGGGAAAGGAGGTGGCGACGTGGAATAGAGAGGAAAAGGCACCATCTATCAAAAAGCTGACCTGAGGGAAACCGGAACCGCGCGTATGCCGAGAGAGACGGAAAGGGAAAAAGGACGAACGGGCCTCCCAAAAGTGTGCAATGGTGATATGGGTACAGTGATAGGGTATCGTGGAATGAGCGAGAGCGGCAGTCTCTGGGGTATACATCCCCCGTCTGAGGACTCATCCTCTAGAGACTCATTGTGAGCCACTCCCACTCCTGAGGGCCGGCCCCCGCGCCGCCCGGAGTCATGATCGGGGGCTGCGCCGAGCCGTTTCCTGACATGCTCATCAAGCCTGGCGTCATGACCGACTGTGTAGTCATGCCGAAGCCGTTGCTGAGCCTGCCTAAAGCCGAGCCAGCGCCGCCCATACCCCCAAGGCCCGACATGGTCGATCCCAGTGGCCTGGCCGCCTCGTTGGAGCCCGTCGAGGCCGCCGGACTGTCGATGTCCATGCCCGAGAAATCGCTGGTGTTGCCGCTGCTGTGCCCGGCGTTGTTGCTGGTGCTGTTGTTGGCGGCAGAAGCGCTAGTGTTGTTGCCACTGCTACTATTGATGGCGGCGCTACTCGATGCCGTGCTCTTGCTATGGCGGCGTTGTCTCTTGGAGGCGATGGCCATGCCCCTGGCTGCGGCACCCGGGCCCGGCGCGCTCTTCGGAGGCGCTGCCGCGATAGGCACGACACCCTTGCCACCAGCAACGCCGGTTGCCGATCCGGTATAGCTGTTGGGCGTGCTGCCTGCCGTATTTCCGCCCGACGCCGGGCTCTCGCTCTCGTTCGCGCTACCGGCCCTGGTCTGGGCAGCAGCCGGCGGGGTAGTGGCAGCCTGCACGACGGCCGGGGTCGACGAAATAGCCAGCGTCGAGTTCTTCCTCGTGGCCGTTCCGGAGGCGGTTCCCGAGTTCTTCTTGGAGCGGGTGCTCGAGCCGCCCACCGACATGTTGCCAGAGCCACGGTTCCGCTTCTTGATCACGTCCGTCTTCAAGCTGAGCGGTCGGACAACTCCATGAAGCTTCAAAAACAGCCCACAAGCGTTGCAGAGAGGCTGACCCTCGGGGTTTCGCCGCCACAAAGGAGTCGTCTGCGTGAAACAGTTGGTACAGGTTGTCGGGGCCGCGCTCTCTCCCTGGTTCGCTCCAGACGCGTGGAGATTAGTGCTGGAGCCGTGCTTGGAGCCGGGCGGTGGCGATGATGGTCTGCTGTGAGCAGCTGAGGAGAAACCCGACTCTTGGCCGGCCATGTCCGCAGGGGGCGAGTTTCCGTCCGTCGGTTGACCCAGATGGTCGAAGGGGTGCCCAGAGCGGGCGACAGTCGGTGTGGAGGCCGTGCGGGGGATCTTGCGGCGGCCATCAACCTGCCTGCCAAAGGACTGCGACTGCGAGCGCCCAAGGCCACCCTCCCAGTCAGTACCATTAGCATCGACAAAGTCGGTGGTCGTTCCTCCGATGGTGACTTGTTTCCGCGGGGGTCCGACAGGGTACCGCGCTGCTCGTGTGCTAAAGTTCCCGGGAAGTGAGGCATCCCACCCCATGGCGGTGTTGAAATCCAGATTGGACTCGTCCATGCCGTTTGACGAGAAATCGCCCGTGCCGTGCATGTTTCTATCGGCAAACGCCCCACCGTCGTCTTCGTTGTCGTCGGAATCGCCAAAGTTAAACATTGTGTTTTCTGGCATCATACCCAAGCCAGGAGATCGGACGGTGGACTCGGACTGAAAAACTTGCGAGGGGTCGATATGGCCGAAGGCACTGGGTGCCGTGTACGACGGGACTCCGTCGCCGCCGGCCGTCGAAGCCGGGAACATGCTCGCACCGTTAGCGCCGTACGAAAAGTTAGCTGGCATGCCGGACGCCGGCCCGGGTTGCCTGAGCGCCTGGCCACGATGCTGCCGCACGTCCATGCTGCCGAAGTAGTAGCCGCCACTCTCGCTGCCATCGGCGAGCGGGTGAGGAGTAGAGACGGCCGAGGGGTAAGCCGAGGCCGGAGGGGAGTAAAAGTCGGTCGCAGGCACCGAGGCACCCAGCGAAGGGCCGCTGTACAAGTGGGAAAAGGGCCCCTGGGACACCATGGGCGACGTCGAGGGCGAGAAGGAGAAGCTTGGCTGGAACGGGCCGGCGGATGTGATGATGGGATCGCCATCCATGCCGAAGGTATCGAGCTGGAAGGGGATGCCGTGGCCGTTGATGGGCTGAGCCATACTGCTCGGGTTAGCGCCGTCGAGGGAGTACTCGTTGAGGTCGGCGTCTGCGTCCATGTCGTTGCTCGCGGAATTGGTGTTAACCGCAGGGACATGGGGCGAAAAGTCTGCTGGCCGCTTTCGTGTCTGTGACGGGAATATCTGTGAGTCTTGTCTGTCGCGAGCGGGTGGATACTGCGGCTCTGGATGAGACGAGCTCGTGATGACTCGAGTGGAGCGCACAATACCAGAGCCCGGGGCCATGCAAAGATTGGACGTCGCAGGAACACTTACCCGTCTGTCGTCGATGCTCGTCTTGCGGTGATGGCGAGTTACGTAGCCGAACTCATTATGTCGCCTCTGGTGGTGGGCGGCCACAGGGACAGACTGGGGGTTGAATTGGGGGACGGGCGGTGATTTTCGAGATTTGATAGGAATGGCCGAGGCGGCGGTGGGAGCGGGCACCTCCTCAGGCCTGGAACCCTCGGGGGTGGCGGCAGGGCCCGACGGCGTCGCGATGCCATCAGGGAAGATGAAGTCATCTAGGCTCATCGGATCGCTCTGGGCCGCGAGATTCTGCGCAGACGTCTTGCGCAGCTGCGCGATGCCACTCGGCGCATTGGCACCTGAAGGTGCGCGCGTACTTGCGGCGAGTCTAGTCGGCAGAAAGAAAACAAGGCAAAGTCCCCATGTTAGCCAGACATACTCCAGAGACACGGGACACCACCCGCAACGCGGCCGCAGTCGGGTCCCCGGGTTACACGTGCACAGGTTGCGCATGAAACAGGCGCCAGTAGGCTTCCCTGTCACGGGAAAGGAGAGGAGGACGGAAGGAGCGGGCGCATACCGGGCCTCTTCCTGCTGGCGGTTGCGCAGGTTCATATGCATCATGCGCCACGTGAGGTTCTCCATGCGCTGCTGGTTTGGCAGCTGCTGCTTCGTCTTACTGAAGAAGCGCCAGACCTGGGCGGCGAGCGGGTCCATAGCCTGCAGCGCCTCGGGAGTGTCGTCCTTGACGCCAGCCATGCCGTCCCTGAGGTCGTCGAAGACCTCTGTCCTCGACAGCTTGTCCCGCGCGACGCTGTAGGTGCCCTTCAGGTCGATATCGAGCTCGCGGAGCGACGTGTTGATGTCTTGTGGGTGCTGTTCCTGCTGGTGCGGTTGCTGGTGGTGGCGTGGCCTGGCGGCGCTGGAAGCCTGGGGGCCAATCGCGGCGGCGCGAGGAACGCCAGCACCGGCTCCGCTTCGGCGGGCGGTATCGTGGGCGGGCCGCCGGGGGAATCGGTAATCGTGCTCTGTTGTTGTGGGGTGCATCGGCGTCGACATGGCTGACGTCGCAGTCGAGATTGCCCTACTGCTGATCATGTCGCACAGGAATGGCCTGTAGCTGTCTGAGGGGGCGGGAGGGCGGGGATGGCGTATAGTATGGGACGAAGTAAAACAGCGGCGGGTGTGGGAGGAGGAGGAGAGGAAGGACGGGCGAAGGGGAAAATGGGTTTATTCGATTTTCCCCACGTCGACCTCGCCGCACAGACTTGGTGGGCTCACCACACCCCAAACCCAGCAACCTCCGTCACAGGCTTTATTTTATTTTTTGTTGCTCTCCCTCGTCGGTGCGGTGGTGCTGCAGCGACACTCTCACACCGGTCAATGTCGGCGCCAGCGAGAAAACGCCGGCACTTTGATTGGGCGGTAGGGTTGGCCTCGACCAAAGAAAAATCGCTATTTGGTATGCGACTCCGGCAGCAGCAAATCGGCGGGCATTCAGACGTTGAGCAAGGACAGGGCAGACGAAATAGATGCCGTACGGTATGGTACGGTATGGTATGCTAGAGGCAGAGCGTCTGGCTAGTCTGTGACACACCAAGCTCCTGGTCTCTCGGTCTGTCTGAGTGTGAGAGTGTGTCCGTCTGGCCGTGGGTTGGGGGAAGGCGGTTGAGGGACGGATGAGCAAGGAGAGGTCGGCGGCAGGCCGTGGCTGATGTTTTTCTTGGTTTGGCTCCTGGGACAAGGGGGGGGCGTGTGGGAGAGCAAAGAGGAGGGCGGGAAGTGGGTGATGGGAACGATCGAGTTCGAGTCGCAGCCCACTCTGGGCTGCGGGCTGCTCGGCTGCACGAGGGGGTGAGGGCGAGGGTGAGGGTGAGGGACTGGCTGCTGGGGGACCACACTGGCGAGACTTTTGGGATACGGCTGCGGGGGCTTGCGGCCGCCTTCGGAAGGTTTGCAGGGACCGAAGCGAGGGTCGGTGGATCTTGATGCTTGCGATTGGGGTCAAATTGAATTGCTACAGGTGCTAGCGGCGGGGCTGCGGCGGCGTCGAGCTCGCTGGAGGGCAGCAGGAGCAGCACGGCGGGCGCTGCCGACCACGCGGGTAGCTGGAGATGAACAAGACCTGGCCACGTCGAGGCGTGATTCCGCAGGGCCATCCCTTGCTGAGGAGAGGATTATCGAGAGGATTATCGAGATGGTCTGTTTTCTGTCAAGGCACACATGACGAACGTCTTTGAATGACCCTGTTGACGGTTCCAGGCTCTGGTGCTCCGACCGGCGGTTGTAGTGCACACGCCAACCAACAAACCTCCATGCAACCCTCACTCTCGCCCACCATAAACTCTCTCTCCCTCTCTCTCCCTCTCTCTCCCTCTCTCTCCCTCTCTCTCATCCCGCTTCCCGTCCTCTCTCTCTCTCTCCTTATCCCACGCGCGGTCAAATGACTTTGATGCGTAGACAATTCTCTTCCAAGCCTGTAGTGATAGCATGGAAAGCAAAGCAACACTCACTGCCCGTGGTTGTTTTCTATGTTTTGTGTCAGAAACCATCAAATGGGGAACTTTCACAAGCCACCGAGACACACACTCAACTCTGCGAACCCGACCTTCCTGGTCTTCGCAAAGTCCCGGGTACTTTTCGAGTCCCACAGCCTGCAACCGATGCACCGCAGGGGCCCCACCTGCGCCGGTTTTCGGTAGGGATCGCATGTGGGATTTTGACTGGGGTGCGAGAGCGGTCCCATCTGAACTTGAAGTCGGCCGACATGGGCCTTTTTTTTTTCTTCTTCTTTTCTTTCTCTCTGTGGCCGACAGCTAGCGTCTGGGCCCGCGTTGGCTGGTTGCCCACCACCACCACCACCACACAAAACCCACTTGCGGCGCCGCATTTTGCATTGTGCCTTTGTTCCCTGCCCCTTGTCGGGCAGCCCCAGCACGGGGGGTCGTCGGGCCATTTTTAGAGTGAGAGGCAAAAGGAAACACGCGCACAGTCAGTCAAGGAGGAAAAAGAAAATTCCATGTGCGGGGCGGGTCTGACAGGTTGCTCCCTGTCGGGGCCGAGGGGGGAGAAATAAAAAGCCACGCGCCTGTGGTGCTTGATATCTGCCATTGCAGGCGGGGGGGCGGACAGGCGTTGTGTGTCGGCGGTTTTGCGTCTGGTGGATGTCTCTATCCCCAGCACGCCTATACCTGCCTCTCCTTGAAACTGACTGGGCCGACGACCGGCTCTTGTGGAGGACTGCTGTTCTTGGCCAGTGAACGCCCTTTTGATGTCAAGCGAGCAACCCCAGCTCTGCGAGTCATCCAGAAACAGGCGAGACCGTTTTGGATGGGAATTCCATGTGGTGACGATCGATAGCCGGATCCCGCCCACCTTTGGCCAGCCCTCCTTCTCCTTGTTCCCGGGGCCAAGCTTTCCATTCGTCCCAGGGGTACGCAATTCGCAGACCATCAATGACGTTTATGTTCGTGAGGCCAAGGGTCTCTGCATCCCACCATAAAAAGGGCGGGCAGGCCAGCCAGCCAGCCAGCCAGCCAGCCAGCCAGCCAGCCAGCCATGGCGCAGGCCCGTTTAACTGTGGGCTCTCTAGTGGAACCAAAACACGGATGCAGATTGTCGCAAGGGCTTCCAAGGCCAGCATGCTCTGTCCGGCAGCTCCGTTGCGATGTCCCTTGGCGTTTTTATTATCCAACAGGGCGGAGAGGGAGAGGCTCATGCAGAAGGGGGGGCGCCTCACCAATCCATCGTCCTCCCACGATGATACCTAACCTGCCAGGCGAGACACTCGGCAGCTCATCTGCTGCTGTCCAATCCCCCCTTCCTCCCCATTCGTCCATCCAGGGTATCGCACACACACACACACACACACACACACACACACACACGAGAGGACCGACCGACAGGGCCGGCTGGCTCTTCTTGCGTCCGGCTTCGGAAAGGCGCGGCTAGCAGAGGATCGATTGCCGTGTGGCGTCCCACCCCTGCGCACATGACGGTGTGAGCACCGCGTGCGGTCCCCTCCCAGCGTTTTAGGGGACCGGCGGTCAGTGCCACAGGAAGGGAAGAGCCTGCTGGTTATCCCGACCGTTGGCTGCCACCCACGCGACGATGGCTGATGAGAAGCCGTCTTTTTTTTTTTTTTTTTTTTTGGTCGACATGAGGTCTGCGTGTATGGCGCAGTAGACACCTCCTCGTTCACTTTCATCCTGTGGGACAGAGAGATGGACTACCCAGGGATAAATAAAAACCGCGGCATCTGCGAGTACACTGCTTTCTCGATCGGGGTTGCCCACCCGTTATGATGACAAACTCCGCTGCTCGCTGGCAGCAGCAAAAAAAAGGCCCAGTCCCAACCTGGGGGTGTGGTGTGTCTGTTGGTGGGTGTGTGTGGACAACCCTGTCTGGCTGGCGCCAAGTACCAGCTACAAGACAGGGGTGGTGAGCACTTGCATGCGGGCCCCCCTGCCGTGACCCCCACTCGGAAAACAGGGCCATGGCTGGGGTGACGGAGAACAAGCCATTCGTTTCCCACCTTTGCGTGTGTGTGTGGGTATCGAGAAGGGAAAAAGCTCAGAGTCCCCCCTCTCTCCAGCTTCGCCGCGCCACAAAGCCAGCACCTGTCGGTCGACTGACCTGCCAAACATTCTCCAAGTGAATCTTGGCGCGGGGTATCAGCCGCAAGAAAAGCAAGAAAGAGAGAGAGAAGAAAAAGGACAGTTGAAAGTCAATGTAATGGTGGATGTTCAGTCAGCGGTAGCATGAAAATCCCCTCTCCCGACTGCGCCAATCCCTCTTTCCCCTTTCCCTTGCAAAACCATCCCGCGCTTTTGGCGCCCGGCTGGGCACTGGGAGGTGCGAACCATTGGAAGAAAGGGCAATATTGGGCGGGCCTCGGGGCCAGGGCCATCCCACGCTCTCTCTTCTTTTGGGTTGGCACTTTTATTTTATTTCATTTACTTCCTTGGATATTTTATTTTTCGCAATGGCTCGTGCTCCATCTCGCAAAGCCACTTTCGAAGAGACGCGGGCAGGCAAGCATACCTACCAGGAAGAAAACGTGCGCGTGGCGAGTCATTCCGGTTTTTCCCATCGGGTCTGAACGGAGAATCCGGGTCCTCTCTGCGCCCTTACCGTTGCATGTGTTATCGCGAAACACCCTGGCGAGGGGGAGCCTAACTGGGGATAAAGCGGCGGAGCCTCGAGATGGCAAAAGAGGGTCGGTCGGGTCGCTCTGTTGGTGTGGGGTTGGATTGTGTTTTTTTCTTTGTCGAGTTGTCTCTTCCTGCCGCCTTGGGCGGCACGCCCGGATCAAAAAAAAAAAAACGGAACACTTTTCAATTTTTGCCCCAGTGCAGACCACCACCAATTGAAAAGTGTTCCGTTTTTTTTTTGATCCGGGCGTGGGCGGTCAGCAACCGTCCTCTCACATGCATCCACGGTGTGCTGGTTGTCCCTCTTTTACCCACCTAGGTCCTGCCGGGCTAACGAAGCATGCCGCCGCAAGGGATGGGCGAGTTTAGCCAGCAGAACCCTGGTCCGGGTCGCATGGCATGTGCAGCCACGGCCGGCAATGTTGCCCTCGCGCGTGGGATGTGGTCTTCTGCTCTTGTTCTAATGAGTAAAAAGCCACTATAATGACAAGCCCGCCTTGCAGGCCGCGCCCCCCTCTACACCCCCTCGAGCAAATCAATACCGTTGCCGGCTGCGGTTGCCTGCCCGCCCGCCCGCGTCCCCCTCCCCCTTCCGAGGGGGCTCTAATGGCGAATACACCCGAGATGATGATTGACGGGGGCCACCTCTCAGAGCCCACATCTTTCCGCTTTTTTCTGTGTGCTTCCTGCAGGGCACGCCGTCATGAGAGCCAGCGAGCCCAGTCGGCCGAGGCTGATACGTCGGAAGCGCGGAGCGGACGGGCGGCTGCTGGGGCCGGTCCAGGGTGGATCTCTGCCGGGATCCGGCCAGCGCCTGGCTCTGCTCTGGCATGTTTCCCGACCGTTCAAGTTTGATGACGCAGGGGAGAGAGGGGAGAGACCTGATTTCGGGATGCACCAGCCCACCAGCAGACGCGCGCCCTGGGCTGGGGCCCCTCTGGCCAACATGATAGGGCATGACAATGACATGCAGAGAATCTCCATCCTGCCCACGGCTGGGGCCCTTTTTCCTTGGACGTGGGCAGGAGCCAATCAGGGCGAGTCTAAATCGACATATGCGAGGGCTCTTTCTGGTTGGTCTTTGTGGTGTTAGCCCCCCGATGCTTTGGCCCAGGAAGAGAGCGCCCTTCCCGCCAGAAGGTGGGATTTGCGGCATCCGTCCAACCCTCTTTTGGTGATGCGCAGGTGGCGGTTCGTCACATGGCTGGCTAGCCCCTGCCGCCAGGAGCAAAACGGAAGCCACTTGGCCATTTTTTCTTTCTTTTTTTTCTGTTTGTGGTTGCTCGCAGTCGAGGTTCCGTCCGTGATGGTGCACACCCAGCACGGCCTGGAACGCGATGGGCTCCACACTTGACCAATGTCGCCCAAGGCTCACTCGGCGCGTGGGGTTGTCGGCTGGGGCTACAACCGGTCGCTGGATGGAGCGGAATACGGATGTCGACGGCCGGATGCAGTCAGCCGGATGAAGACTGACTGCGAGGGACTGGATCCCTCTCTTTCCCCGTCTCGCTCCTCCTTCTCCTCTAGTCCTCCTTCTCCTCCCCCTCGTTCGCTCTCCATGGGGCCTAGAACTGAGGGATTTCCGAGAAAGAGCCGGGTGGGGTTGCAGCGCTACTATAACTGGCAGCAACGGAAAAAAAAAAAAAGAGAGAGAAAAAAAAAGCGCGGCATGAGCAGCTGCAGCGCCAAAGACGACAACAAGGCAATCTGGGCCGCACACGGACGAGAGCTGGCCGGGCTGACCTCCTAGGTTCAATGGTAAATGGTAAACGACGACATTTGATTGAACGGGAAAATGGGCTGGCGGCCTGGGCGTGGGGGAACATGAACCAATTCTCCCGCGCCCCACCCCGCTGCGACTCCAGGCCGTGCGATTGATGGCGCAAAGTGATTGACGCATGGGGCTTGGCGTGGGGTAAAATGAGGTGGATGCTCTTTACATTTGTGCAGAGGACGCACACACTCAAGACCTCAAGACACACATACATACACATCTTGGTGGATTTGACTGACCACCTTTTTTTGTGTCGTGTGTGCCGTCTGCAAGCTGACTGGAGGGTTGTCTCGCTGTGTCCTCGAGACGATGCCCGGCACCGAGTGGCTTTCCCATGCCGTGCCAAGGGGGGTTTTCGATCCATGGTTGCCCGTCACGCGTTGTCTGCAGCTTGTTGTCTTCGTCACTAGCAGCGGCTGTTGGGGTCTCAAGTCAGATCAGGGAGTCTGACTAGCAGGTGGTGTTGTCGTGTCTGTGCATATCCCCCTCCGGTCCTCTCTCTTCCCGGACTCCCTTCTCTTTCTTCCATCCATGCCTTCCCCTGACTCCAGTCTCGACTCCCTTCCCAGGCCATCCATGCCTGTGTCGTTTTGCTCCTGGTCGATTTGGACGCTTCGACTTTGGGCGGGGGGTCGTTTGGCTGTGGTGTTGCTCTGTCTCGAGGCTGTTTGGCAGCCCCTTTCGACTCCAAGTGGAATTGAATAGGGACTAAGGTGTCGGAGCCTCCATGTCAGAGACGGTGTGCAGTTGCCTGCCTCTTATATTGTTGCCATGAGCTCTCCAGAAACGAGGAGGCATTGCTTATTTCGTCCGGGCCCTGCCGTCCTCGCCTAGCTGGCCAAGCAGTCAGGCGGGCCTATTGCGAATTTCCAAAGGTGGTTAGCAAATAGGAGACAAACACGGGGTCCAAGATAAGATCTGATAGCTACCCTCTCTATCTATCTGTTTTCCCGCAGAGTCAGAACTCTGTGATGCCGCCGTCTTGGCGGCCGTGTCTGTCGCGATGGCCCCTAAACGGAATCGGCCTCTCTCACATCGACCTTCCTAACTTTATAGTTTTACTGGCGATCGCGCTATGCTATATGTATGTGAGCCTCCACGGGACTCTGCGCTGGCAACACGCCGTCTGCTCCTGTTGGGGGCCTGGACGACCTGCCTCGCTCTCGAGATACCAGGACCTCGTCCCCGGACTGAGCCTTCTCATTCGACAGTACGGCCCAGCCCGAAAAAAGCAACCCTTATCAGACGCTCGACGCACCAAACCCCTGCAACGGCATCGCATCTGATCGCGTGCTGCCCTTGCAACGACATGATGGGCCAATCGCCACCCCTAGCTATATCTTTCCGACGCGTCAAAACCTACCCTGCGTACATGCCACTCCCGCCTCGGCCCCAGATGCCGAGATGGGTGCATATGTGCGCAACGAGGAGCGCGTACGCACGCACCGCAAAAAGGCCCGGCATCCTTCTCGAGCAGCTGCCGTGTTTGTTGGGGAAGAAAAGGGGGGGGCCGCGGGAGCCAATGAGGTCTGGTGGAGGAGATAGCGAGACGACCTCTTGCATCGCAGTTTTGGAATTGACGACTGCATCTCCAGGGGCCTCCATCTTGGGGGTGTGCGTGTGGAATGCTTATCGTGCCTCCGCATTCCCCTGTCTTGGGCCCTTTAGTTCCCGGGCCACTGCGGGAGTGATGATGAATAAAGACATGGGATCCTCCACGCGATTCCCTAGATCTGGGGTAGCCCCGTCGGTTCTGGGGAGGAGGCTGGAGGGAAATGAACAGAACTCTCCTTTCTTCTTCGCCTATACGGCTTCTAATTATTCCATCTATTTCAGAGCAAATCTCCCATGTGTCTCACTCACCTGCCTGCCTCAAGTGCCTGCTCTCGGCTTTGTGCCCGATACAATGCAAGGCTCACTGCCGGGCGCCGGATCCGGTCACCAGGCCGCATCCATATGTCGGGCTTTGTCGGCAGCCGCCCAGTGGCGGTCATCTTTGTTACCTCTTCCAGTGCCTCCTGGGCACATGGATTCATACTTGATGGAGGGCAGCCGGATGTTGGGGCCGCATGCCTTTTCTGTCGCTCTCTTGAGCATCAACAGCATGCAAATGCAACATTCGGCTTTTTTGCCACACCATCCAAGAACTGAAAACACGCCATCATGATAGCCGCCAACATGGCCTGGAAGCCGCCGCCGTCGTCTCGGGGGAGGCCCTTCACGCTCGGCTACGGCCCCCTCGTGCTGATCCTGCTCGTCCTCCTGGCCGCCAGGGCCGCCGCACACGACGACGGCGACGACGGGCACGAGGGTGAGCCCAAGTCGACCATCACGACCACCACCCGCGTGACCATGACCGTCACGACGCGCCTCGCCCACCGGCCGACCCTCGCGGCCGCCGCGCACGCCGGCTACGCCCTGCAGGGCTGCTACAGCCGGCCCGTCGGCAGCGAGTCGGCCCTCGAGGACGCCACCGCGCCCGTCAACGCCTCCCGGGCCGGCGCCCTCACCGTCCCCGACTGCCTCGAGGCGTGCGCCGGGGCGCCGGGGCCGCGTAGGGCCGCCGGGGGCAAGAGCGATCCCTACGGCTTCGTGACCGTGGGCGAAGGGAGGTAAGGGATGTCCATTATGTTTTCTCTCTCTCTCTTTCTCTCTCTC